ACTCCCTAAATGCCTGCAGTGGCTAGAACTGGCTGTGTCTGTAGCCAGGAGCCAGGAACAACTTCTGGGCCTTCTTTGTGGGCTCAGGGATTCAAGCACTTAATCTATTTTCCACTGATTCTCAGGCAGTTTAGGATAGCTGGATTAGAAGTGGAGTAGTTGGGGACCCAGTGCAGTAGCCTAGTGGTTAAAGTCCTTGCTTGGCAAGTGCCAGAATACCATATGGGTGCCAGTTCTAATCCCAGCAGCCTTGCTTCCCATCCCCGCCTGTGGCCTGTAAAAGCAATGGAGGACAACCCAAAGACTTGGGACCCTGCACCTGTTTGGGAAACCCAGAAGAAGCTCCTGGCTCCTGGCTTTGGATGGGCTTAGTTCTGGCAGTTGTGGCTGCTTGGCAAGTGAATCAATGGACAGAAGATCTTTCTTTCGCCTCCTCTCTATATATCCACCTTTGCAAAAGTAGGAAGCAACTCAGATGAAATTTCTTTGGTGATCGCCGCAACTGAATTGCTGGGCTCAGAACCCTCACCATGAAGAGAATTGCAGGTTCCATGGTCTGATCATGGAGTGCATATGTCAGAGCTGGGCCCCCTCAGGATTAGAGCAGTGGACAACAAATCTAGGTGTACATGGAGGATATCACAGTACATTCTGCAGAGGACACCTCGGACCATAACAGAAGACTTAAGACAGAACAAATTGATGAACTATCCCAGCCAAGTGTTGGCAGTGAATATCTGGGCACATGGGGACTCTAAGCTGGACTATGTCAACCAGTGGATTCTGGGAAGATGTCATCATGCTTGGATTGGCGAGATTGGCAGTAATTCAAACTGTTGAACTATCAAAATCTCTTGAGCAAGGCCCTCAGAGTGTGCCCCACATCAAGGATGCTGGGATGGTGTCTGGTGACTGTTCTTCATCCCAGGGTGCAGAGACGTTTGGGAGGCTGGGTGGGCTTCTCCCCATACTTCCTCTCCCCCCTCAGACCCAGGAGGGAAAAAGAGAATGTCCCACCGACCCTCCTGTGGTCCTTGACCCATATCACCCTAATAAACTATGCAAGAATCAAAAGTAATTATCAGAAAAAAATCTTTTTTTAACAAAGTGGAGTGTTCGGGATTTGAAGGGCACTCATGGGGTGCTGGCTGCACTGACTTCCCACCACTGTACTGCAGTGCTAGCTCCTCATCTCCATTTCTTCAGGGCTGGACTTTGCTAGCATTGAGTGTCTTGAACCTGATGAAGCTTATGTTGAGAAATAAAGGTTATATTATAAATTTTACTCTTTAATTCTACTTCCCATGAATCCAAGTCTCATCATGTGTTTCTTGGCGTGTTTATGTCTGCGTTATTAGGTGTCTATTTTTCTTAATGCTTCTCAGTGTTTTGATGAAATTAATGCTGGGTACTTTCGCACTGTGTGGTTTTTACTTTGTCCGTTGATTTTTTTCTCTTCACATTTCACCCTGATTAGCTGCTTCAGGTGCCTAAAATGTTACTGATTTTCATGTTAACTTTGTAATTCACAGTCTCATTGAACACTTTGACAAATTCATGAAATATGCGTCTTCAACTTTGCATTCAACTTATGATCTTGATGCAAATTGTCTTCCCTCTTGTGTGTGTGTGTGTGTATGTTTTTTTTTTTTTAAGATTTATTTATTTTTGTTTTGGAAAGAGGATATACAGAGATTAGGAGAGACAGAGAGGAAGATCTCCCATCCGATGGTTCACTCCCCAAGAGACCACAATGCTAGAGCTGAGCCAATCCAAAGCCAGGAGCCAGAGCTCTTCCAGGTCTCCCATGCAGGTGCAGGATCCCAAGGCTTTGGGCCGTCCTCAACTTCTTTCCCAGGATACAAGCAGGGAGCTGGATGGGAAGTGGAGCTGCCGGGGTTAGAACCGGGGCATGCATATCGGATCCTGGTGTGTTCAAGGCGAGGATTTTAACCACTGCACTATCATGCTAGGCCCTCTTGTGTTCTTCTATTGCCAAGGAGGACTGCTGTTGCTGAGTATTAATTTTGTCTCATAGAAATATTACTTTTTTATTGTCTCTGGAATTTCTATTGGGAAATCAGCGATCAGTGATTTTGTTTATTTCAAGATAGTCTTGTTTTTCCTATGTGAAGGATTTTGTCTTCTGTTTTTCCCAGTATTGTGTTGATGTGCATTAGTGTAATGCTGTTTTAATTTATCTCTGGGCATTCTTACAACTCCTTAAGTGTAGCTTTCTAGAAGATGCTCAGGCATCATTTTTTTCTTTTCCTTACTCTTGTTTCAGGTATTGGCTTTTCGGATGTAATGCTCTGTGTTCCCACTGCCTCTGCTTGTGTGTCATGTTCTCACTGGTTCCTGCTTTCATGCTTTTTATTCTCCATGCTGCATTCCAGCTAGTTGTTCTGCTCAGTCTTTACTTCAGTAATTGCATAGCTGTAGCAGTCTGTTATTGAGCCCATCTGCTGACTTTTTGTTTTCTGTATTATGTTTTCAAGTCTGTGATTTTTATTTCATTCTTTATGCTTCCTAGCTGAAATTTTTAGTTTGTCCTTTACATTTGTAGAGGGCTACTAAACTGACCATTGTGTCCAATGAGCTGTAGAACCTAGCAATTGAGAAAGATTTTTACATTTTAAAAGGAATGCTTTAAAATAGTAGTAAGAAGACAGTGGGCTTTGTGGCACCGCATCTTAAGCTGCCACTTGAGTCTGCACACCATATTGGAACTCCAATTCCAGTTCAAGTCTTGGCTCTGCTGCTTCTGACCAGGTACCTAATAATGAGTCTTCAGAGGCAGAACTTCGGTTTCTGCCTTCTACATGGAAAACTCAATTTGGGTTCCAGGCTATAGACTTGCCTTGACCAAGGCCTGTATGTTGTGGACATTTGACAAATGAGCCAGCAGATGGAGGATATCTCTCTCTCTCTTTCTCTCTGCTTTTCAAATAAATAGATTCATTAATTTTAGAAGAAAGGATACGTATTAAAAAAAACACTGAAACTGGGCCCAGCGGCATGGTCTAATGGTTAAAGTCCTCACCTTGAATGTGCCGGGATCCCATATGGGCGCCTGTTCTAATCCTAGCAGCTCCACTTCCCATCCATCTCCCTGTTTGTGGCCTGGGAAAGCAATCGAGGACGCCCCAAAACCTTGGGTCCCTGCACCTGTGTGGGAGACCTGGAAGAAGTTCCTTGTTCCTGGCTTTGGATCGGCATAGCATCAGCCATTGTGGTCACTTGGGGAGTGAGTCATCAGACGGAAGATCTTCCTCTCTGTCTCTCCTGCTCTCTGTATATCTGACTTTCCAATAAATAAATAAATCTTAAAAAAAAAAACAAAACCCACAAACTGAAGTATCCAGTAGAGGATTTGTGTGTGCTTAGAGCAGTCGACTGGAAGTACTTCTAACCTCAGCTTTAATACTGAAGTGATCCTAAAGTGAGATTCAGAGTCTTGTTGAATTCTGCTTATTTTCGGAGTGTTCTGACTTTGCGTGGTCACAGTCAGGGTTCCCCTCCAGGCTGAGCTTCAGAACGAGGAATCAGAACATGTTCTTAGGAGAAAAGCAACCTTCAAGGCCAGGAACTGGATGCGCTCACGCATGTGTTATTCGTTTCTAGACACACAGTTGCTCATTCTCACACTGTCCTTGTGTGTAGTATTTATGTGTTCTCTACTGTGTCTGTCTTACCGGATGCACTTGAATTACCTAAACCACCATTACCAATAGGGGAAGTTCATAATGTAATTTCTGTGTGTAGTTTTTTTATATTTTCTATAATTCCTCTGGAGATATAAATTAAACTTGACTGTTCATTCAGAGTGCATTTATCTTGTATACATGTGTCTTCAGTGCTTTCCTATAGAAAAGCAGTTAGAAACTAGGTTTTTAAAAATTAATTTCTCGGGCCCGGCGCGGTGGCGGAAGTGGTTAAAGGTCCTCGCCTTGCACGCCCGGGATCCCATATGGGCGCCGGTTCTAATCCCGGCAGCCCCGCTTCCCTTCCAGCTCCCTGCCTGTGGCCTGGGAAAAGCAGTCGAGGACGGCCCAAAGCTTTGGGACCCTGCACCCGCGTGGGGGACCCAGAAGAGGCTCCTGGCTTCGGATCGGCATGGTATCGGCCCGTTGCGCTCACTTGGGGAGTGAATCATCGGACGGAAGATCTTCCTCTCTGTCTCTCCTCTCTGTATATCCGCCTTTCCAATGAAAAAATAATAAAAATAAATCTTTAAAAAAAAAAATTAATTTCTCTTAATGGTGTGAGAAATTGAGAAAATTTAATAGCATACCTCCTATGTAAAACATTCACTATTTAGATCACAATGGTTTGTTGTTTTACTCCTGCAACATGTATTACCTGAGATGTCTCGTGTTTCGTGATAGGAAATATACTGTAAGTGTGACCATATTAAAGATGGGGTAGTGAAGTAATTTCCTTCCTAGGTTTTCTTGTGTGCCTCTGCCTAGCATATTTCACTAAATCATTTAGATTGTTGGTACGTTTCTTAGAGACCAGCCATATACTAACTAATTCAGCAGTAACTGTAAAGATACTTAGAAATTTTGGGGATGTTGAGTGTCACCGGTTTGTGGCTTAACTCTTGCTACCTAGTGCTATGCTTTAATCCAAGATGTGATTGTTTTCTGATATTAGCCACTGTTTGGTTTGGTTTTAATGTCTCTGTGTTCGAATAGCTTCCTACCCTTTACAGTTAAACTGATATTTTTAGGTTGGACGAGAAGCGGTTGGATTTTTCCTGTGAAACACCATTAATAATAATGATCTCTTCTAAGAGACTGGTGTGCTTGTCACTATGGCAATACCTGGTAGCTTAGGAATATTTCAAAAAGCTCTTGGCTAAGAATGGAGAAATTAGGTTAGAGATGAGATTGTAAATAATGTAAAGAAAACAGAAATGCGTTGTTGCAATGTGTCAAGAACTTTTGAAAAGGTAAAGTTTGACGTTAAAAATAATTAAAATTTTTTTCCTTCAGCTTCCAGCTGATCTTACCAAGATGCACCTCACTGACAGCCCTCATCCCCAGGTGACTCCTGTGTCTTCTAGTCAGTCTGCTTGTAGCATTGCCAGTGACTCTGGAAGCAGCAGTTTATCTGATATCTATCAGGTAATAACATTAGGTATTTGTTTGCTGTAAATGTGGGGAACTTAAAGTTATTTTGCAAAATATTCTGTCAGTGCAAAATTCAAGCATAAAGTATATGCAGAAATATACATGTCTTTCAGTTTTGCATGGCTAGTGACAGGAAGTGATCAGTCTTTTAAGAAGGATTGGGAGTGGCCCATGGTTTGCTTTCAATTTTTTTAAATCCTGCTGAATCTATTAGTACATAATACTTCAGTAAGTCGTGAAGAGCATTAGCATTGCTTTGGTATTGTAAAGTGTCTGTTACTGTTATGTAACATGAATTAATTAATATATTTATGAGCTTTGCCCTTTCAACACCCAGAAGCAGTCACTGACTTACTAGAATTTTCAGTGATCCGTATGATGCAGGCTTTGGGAGGAGCCCACCCTAGGAGCATCCTCACATGTCCTGCTGAGCTTGAGCCCAAGAAAAGTTCAGAGTTCTGTACTCAGTGCAGCTCTGTACAAACTTCTTTAGTGGGGGGCAGTTTCCTATGTGAGGCAGTTTATATCCTGGAGTCCAGTGGGTACACACAGCTTTGATAAAATAGAGAACACATAATATTGAAAGTTGGTTTATTCCAGGGCTTGTGATGTTGTGCAGCACGTTAAGCTGCTGCCTGGAACATCTGCATGCCATGTCAGTGCCAGTGTGAGTCTCATCTGCTCTGTGTTTAATGCAGTACTCTGTTTGTTAACCTGGAAAGCAGCAGGAAAAGATTCAAGGGCACATGTCACCTGTGTGGGAGATGTTCACCCTGGCAGTTGAAAATATTTTTTTCTTTCTCTGGCAATGGAAGATATGTCTCTTTCTCTCTCTGCATTTCCCTCTATCATTATGCATTTAAACACACAGAGTTGTTGGTTTATTCAGAAATGGAAGTATGTGATATATTCCATGGATATCTACAGAAATTTAAACACCGTGTATTTAATTGTAAACTTCCTAGTGGCTGTATTTTAAAACAAAGAAATCACACTTAAGTTTTAATATATTTTATTTAGTTCTGTATGTGCAAACACAATAATTTTAACATATAAAAAGCATGTAACATTTTGACAGTTTTTTTAAATTGTTACTGTTTATTCATACCAAGTCTTAAATTCCTTGATTGAATTCCTCGGTTCAGACCAGTGTACCTGGTGGCCCCATAGAACACACATCTGTGGAAGCATAGTCTTTGGTTTTTGTTGTTGTTGTTGTTGTTGTTGTTTTTCAGAGAAACATTGAGACTGTAGTTCTTCTGAATCACCCAGATTCAGATATTTTAGAAAAATCAGCCTTCTTCTGTAAATGAAGTTGATAGGCAGATGAAAGAAGGAAGAGACAAGCCTTTGTTTTTATTTTATGTGCAGCTTTTCAAGTTGTTCTGGCCTTCCCCAAAGCAAGTGTCTGTAAGAGCAGTGACATCTCGGAGTTTTTCCCTGGAGAGGCTCCATGAGGAAGATAGACCGGAATTGGTCAAGTTCAGGATGTGCCTGCAGAATTCTCTCAGGATAAGTGGGGATGTCTGGACCTTGCTGAAAGAGACTGTACACAGGAGATGTGTTGACATAAGTGGGAACTTGACCTCACTGGAATGTTCCATTTGCAACCTCGTGTGATCTGATGACCTTTTTAGAGCCAGGAGCAGAGCCCTGAATAGTTGTGAGGAAAGGGACAGAAGGATAGTGTGCAGTTTAACATCTAAATTTAAAGGAGAGTTATAATGCTAAAAATTTGTGGAATAGTTAGATTAAGTCAAAGTAATAGCTAAATGTAGAGTCGTAGGTAGCTAAAAGAATATCAGAAAGGCTGGGACAAAAGCAACAAAAATATGAAACAAGAGGAAAAATACTCAACATTAAAATAATTATGCGTATTTCATATTGCATGAACAGAATGTAAATCTGAGTTCAAGAGCAACAACTGACATTGCTATTAAATAGTGTATTTCTGCTGGTGGTAGCTTTGTGGGTGGTTTTCAGTGTTCCTTAACTAATTATTATTTTAATATTTCACAAATTTTAAGGAATGTATAGAGCCTAGGATAAAAATAGAACTTGAAAAATATTGTACAAAGTGGTAAAAGATATAGCTAAGAGTTAAGAGCAATAAAAACTGATTAATATTAGATGGATAAAATATATCAATATGCAGGATTTCTACACTTTAAAAAAAATCTACAATTTGAAAAAAATCCATTTATAATCATGATGTAATATTACTCAGCTAAATTGTGTTTGTGAAGTTTTCAATTAGAGCCTTGTGACTAAATGAAAAATGAGTCTTGGAGTCATTTTTTCCCTTGATCTCAGACTACCTTTATGTAGTATGTGTTTAGCTTATAATTATGCCTTTGTCAAAACAGATTGATTTGTCTGGTTACATAAATTTCAGTATTTGAGAGTTTTTAAAGATAAAAAAACCTAGCCTAAAACAGCATAAGCAGAGCCTTGAAAAATAATGTAATACTTTTTTAAGATTAATTTATTTTTATTGGAAAAACAAATTTCCAAAAAGAAGATGAAAGATCTTCCCATTCAATGATTTACTTCCCTAGTGGCTTCACTGGCCAGAACTAAGCTTATGTGAAGCCAGGAGCCAGTAGCCTCTTCTAGGTCTTCTGCACAGGTGCAGGGTCCCAAGGCTTTGGGCCAACCTCCACTGCTTTCTCAGGCCACAAATAGGGATCTGAATGGGAATTGGAGCACCTGGGACACAAACCAATGTCCATATGGGATCTCAGCAGATGCAATGTGAGGATTTAACCACTAGGCTACTACGCCAGACCCTGATGTATTTCCTAACTTGGAGTGTTGGGATGAAGAAAAAAGGAGATAGCCCACTTAGTAGGGAAAGTGCTTCTACTATTACATGTGGCCAGATGTGTGGCTATACTGCTCTGCATTTCGCTGTTAACAATGGTTGTGTCTTCTAATGTATCATTGATAACTTTTGATTGACAGACAAACTTGAAAGTAAAGCATTTACCACAGATAATGCAGATATGGTTCTAGCATGGCTGTTTCTAGTCAGATTAGATTGAAGTTTAGCCAAGAACATGCGTTAAGATGTTAAAAATTCTGGGATGGAGTATTTTATGCATCTCGAAGAGTATTCAAGAAAATAATTGTTTCTTTCTGGAAGCCTTATTTGGTCTTTCTCCTAGACCTGGGAAATTGAGATATCTTGACTGTTGAATAAAAGTACTTATCCTTTCATTAACACATTAAATAACCACTTGCTTTTTAAATTTCTCTGTAGGAAATGCCAAGGCTCCTATTTGCCATTTCTTTTGTGACGTATTCCCCCTAAATCACAGCTGTATTGAACACGCTCCTCAGAAACATGGCATTCCATTTGTCACCTCAGCTAGCCTTACCCCATCATATGTGCTTCTCCACCTGTTTATTTTTCTATTTAAGAACAGTGAGTGTTCTAATCACATCTAACCTCCCTCCCCTTCGGTATCATTTTTAAATATATATATATTTTTTTTTCTTTCAATTTGGAAAGCAGTGTGACAGAAACCAAATGCTCCCTAATGGCATGTCTGCTGGCACCTAGCCAGTCCAGATTCAGCAGCCATTAACTTCATACAAGTCTCTCATGTGAGTGGCGGTGCACAGGAACCTGGGTTATCTTCTCCCACCACAAGATGCATTAGCAGGGAGCTGGATCAGAGACGGAGCAATAGGACTTGAAGTGGAGCTCGGGTGCGGGATGTGGTCTCACTGTGCTGGCTTCACCTGCTGTAGTGCAGTCCTGGCAGGGCTTTCCTCCCCACCCCCTTTGAAAAAAGATCTTTAGAAATAGTGCTGTATCTTTTTGAAAGAGTGCTGTATCTATAAATAATCTGCCTAAAAATCTTAATTCCTCACCATCTCATTTATATTCTTCACACCTATTTCAAAGTCATTTCCAAACACAATCTGCAGTCTTATTTAAATATTTCACTATTCTGTGTAATATTTCACTCTGTCACCACTTTATGTATTCTAGACCTTGCTTCATGAGAAATATATGGTACTCTGAACATATGCCTTTCTTAGCCTTGTGTCTTAGACATACTTTTCTGCCTGTGGTTCCACCTAGATGACATTTTTGAGTTTCATGTTTTTCTGATGATAATATCTATCTTGTTCCTTGGAAAGCCACAGCAGTTATGCTCTGATCACATGATTTCGTGGAATATTTTTATTATAATTACTTGAACTTTAATTTTTCAACATCAGATTTGTGGAGAGCACTGTCTGTATTTTAGCATTAGAAACGATGCTTAGGCAAGCACAAGGTTGGCCCTAAGGAAGTAACATAGAAAATGTTCTAGTTGAATTACATTTTGAAGCATAAACCAATATGGATTCCAAGAAAAATGTGTAAGATTGTGATACTAACTAAAGTTCATGTATGCTGCCTGTCTGTCTATTGTGGGAATGAAATACTAGGCCAGTCGGATGTAGTTTGTGAAAGATACATTCACAGTGTACTTGCCTGACAAGGAATACAAAAAGGAAGCATAAGGGTTGAGGTCCATAAGCAGAGTTAAAAGAAATACTGAAAAATGGGAATTCAGAAAGGAAAAGCACTGTAAACCTAAAGTTCTGACTTAATACTTGCCCCTGTATTTGAAAATCTGGTTTTTTGTAAGTTTAGCTGTCATAGTTCCCCTCATTGTAGCTTCATGTTTATGTAGAGGCAAACAGGAAAAGGATATCCTCATGTGGTTTATTTTGGGAAAGCCAAGTCATCAGAAAATCACCTCAGACTGTCTGCTTCATCAAATTATATTTATATAGAAACATTAATATGACACGGCAGGGAAAGGACAAGAAACTGAATAGCTCATTAGCCCTGTCACCAGTGTACTCCCAGTTCCCAGCCCCAGACTTCGTTTATCGTCATCTTTCTGTAAACTTGTTATAACCCAGGTGCTGGGATAAATTAGTTGAAAGATCAGACTTTAATTTACTGTCCCCTTATTGAATATGAAGCATATTTTGATTCATAATTTTGGTACCAACTCTTCGTATTATCTTACAAGGTTCTGAGTATCTGTTAAATTTTGTTTTTTGGTTTATCTGTCCTTTCTCAAGTGAATAGCTTTTACTGCCTTTTCATGTTTGCACACCCTATGTTTTACACTTTTTTTGCTCGAGTTCCCATTTTTCTTCATGAGCTCCCACTGTTTAGCCATGAGATAAACCTTGTTTCTCTTGTTCCCATTTGGGCTGCTGTTAACAGTCAGTAGAAATGTATTTCTTACTTTCTGTTCCCAAAAAGTTAAAAGATCAAGATGATAATAAATGAAGACCCTCTATCTGACTAATAAATGGCATCTTCTAGCTGCATCTTCAGGTAGTGAAGGGAGTGAATTAGCTGTGATGGACCTCATCCTAATCCCATTCCAGAGGGTTCTCCTGTCCTACACACTTCCTTCATGGTTGGGTTGCTTTACAAAGGCCTGGTCTTCTAATGCTACTGCCTTGGTGATGAGGATTTCAGCATAAGAAATAAGAAGGTAGATGAAGTCAGGGTGTGGTGAGAGGGGGAACACATTTGGAACGTTGCAGACCCTTAAGAGGCAGGTTGTTTCATCTTCAAGGTCTCCAGTTAGGTGTTGAGTCTGGATCGCTAGTCATTCATTACTTAAAACTGAAAAAAAAAAATAGAAATAACTGTACGATATATTCTTAGAGAACAAGTCAATACTATTGCACATAAGCGTTGGAACTCTTAACTTGATTTAGCAAAAGCCAAAAGGCTAACTTTTGCCAGACAACGCTGGCCTCAGTGAATCTGAGTGCTTACAAGTGTCATCTGCCCGTGTGTCTGTCTCTGGTTTTGGATTCCCTGTAACGGTTTTTTCTTTGCTCTCTGATGGAGCCCACAGATGCTCTTTGCTCTTTCTTTGTCCTGTGCTGTTACCACTTCCCTGCTCATTGCTCTCCTTTTCTCTACCCACTCTCATGTTCAGCCCCCACTGGAATGCATTTCTATGTGGCTGAGTTTTTTCCTTCAATTCAGCAACTGAAGAAGAGGTGCTGCTCTACTTCCAGCTTGAATTATGAATCCTCGTGGCTTAAAATAGAGAACAGCAGCACCCCAAATAAATAAAATCTTTTAAGCAGATAAGTAGTAAATCTTTAAAACAACAGATGAGGTTCAAATTGTTTTGTGCAGTTTTCATCATCTTTGCTATGTTTGAGTGTTTTGCTAATTTTTTCATGTAGCTGATATGCATGCCTGTTCATTTTTAAATGAATCAGTTGAGTAAAGTATTTGGAAGTGTTATCTCATAATTTTGTGACAGTCTTGTTTTCTGTAGTGCTTTCTACAAATAACATTTTACAATTTTTAATTCGTTTTTGAAGTTGCGACTTAAGTTAATATTAAGGTAGGAATGGGGTTGGCATTGTGGCATAGTGCATAAAACCTTCTCTTACAATGCCATCATCCCACATGAGCACCAGTTCAACACCCAGTTGCTTTATTTCCAATCCAGCTCCCCATTAATGAAAGCAGCAAGATGGTTCAAGTGCTTGGGCCCCTGCACCCACAACAGAAACCCAGAAGTTCCAGCCTGGCTTCAGCCTGGCCCTGAATTGGCCTTTGCAGGCATTTGGGGAGTGAACAGGGGGATGAAAGATCAATGTCTCTTTCTCTACTTCCACCCTGCCTGCCCCCCCCCCCCACTGCCTTGCCTACCCTCTCTGTGTTAGCCTGACTTCCAAATTTTTAAAAATGTGGTAATGACCTCAGCTCTTTGCATACTGTTAGATCCAACAGTAAGGTATTGGGAAGAGATGTATGTTTGTTTTTTAAATAATCTACTTGAATCTTTGCCTTTAAAAAAAAAAAAAAGCACTTCTTGAGCCATGCACAGTAGTAGCCTGGTGGCTAAAGTCCTTGCTTTACACATGCCAGGATCCCAGGTGGGCACTAGTTCATGTCCAGGCTGCTCCACTCCCTATCCAGCTCCCTGCCTGTGGTCTTGGAAAGCCGTATAGGATGATCCAAGTCTTTGGGACCATGTACCCACATGGGAGACACGGAGGAGGTTCCAAATCATTGTGACCACTTGAGGAGTAACCTGGCGGATGGAAGATCTTTCTCCATCTCTTCTTTTCTCTCCGTATCTGCCTTTCCAGTAAAAATAAATATTGAAAAAACACTTCTTAGTTTACATTATTACTCTTCTAGATGTTAAGTCAAGTCTGTAATCAAAATAAAGTAACTTTTACAACTCTTGGGGGTGCTCCAGTAGAATGTACTCTACTCCTGAAGTGGTTGTTAATAAACCTGTATTTTCTTTCACTAAGTGTTTTAAGATGTTTTGTACTTTTAAGAAATGCTATTGTTTATTTGAAAAAGATACATTTGGTAATATTGAATCTCTTCATAATTGCATATATGGTGGCTCAGATTTATCACATAGATATACTGTGGAATGATGAGCCTGTGTTTGGACTGAGATAAGTCTTCTATAAATTATCATCTCATATTCTCTTTTAAAAAGATTCTTTATTTGAAAGACATAGTTTACACAGATACAGCAGAGATCATCCATTTGCAGATGGATGCCCACATGGCTACAACAGCCCTCGGTGTGTGTCTGCAGCGAGGAGCCAGGAACTCTCGTCAGGTCTCCCTTATGGATGGCAGTGTTGGAGTGCTGCTTATTTCTGTATAATGCTAAGTAGGCAGGGTTGGATTTGATTGAGATTGTAACATGGATTATTTTTTCATTTGAAACCTATGGAATGATGACTGACTAAGACTTTTTTTTTCCTGTAGGCTACAGAAAGTGAGGTAGGAGATGTAGATTTGACACGCCTTCCAGAAGGACCTGTTGATTCTGAGGATGAAGAAGAGGAAGATGAAGAGATTGACCGCACAGATCCACTACACGGGCGGGATGTTGTTCGAGAATGTCTTGAAAAAGAGCCTGCAGACAAGACTGATGATGACATTGGTAAGGAACACTTTGGTGCTCAGTAACAGTTTGTCAGTTACCTATAGACAAATTACTTCCAAATTTAAGAATTTAAAACAATATACATTTATTATTCCATAACTTTTGTGGATCGGGAATTCAGTAGTGCTTTAGTTGGGTGATTCTGACTTGGCATTTGGTATGAGTGGTAGCTAGAATGTTACCAGAAGCTGCAGCCATCTGAGTTGTTTGTCAGTGGCTGAGCAGGAGTAGCTCGGTCTGGGATGCAGTTCATCACATGGCTATTGGCACAAAACTTGAGTTCCTCAGTAAGAGCCCTTCTATGTGACAAGTACTTCTCTCAATACTAGTGATTCAGGGGAGAGCAAGGCAGATGCTGTGCTGTCTTCTGGCATTTGGCTTCAGGAGTGACACCACGTTACCTCTGGCAGGTTCTTTAAGTCATACCAAGCAGTCTCCCTGTACCTTGAGAAAGATCCCACAGAATGCCAGCATCAGGAGGCAGGGGCCTTCAGTGTCTTCCCTGAGCTTGGCTGCCACAATTTATAACATAGACTTAGGATTGCACTGATTTTTTTTTTTCATTCATGTCCACAAAACATTTAAAGCACAGTAATGGGAATGCCCAGTATTTATTAATTAGCATTTTAAAACTCTTCAAAGATTATATATTTTCCCCCAGATTGATAAAATATATATAAAACTTTTGGTTAAAATGTCACATTTTTCTGTATGTAACTTCTTTCAGATCTGGTTTGGAAAGTTTAATGACACTAAAAGTGTTATCTTCAGGAAACTAAGAATATTTGCTGTTGATTCTGTATTATGAGCCAGTTAAGATTTTGTCTTAGGTTATTTTGTAGTCATATTTTGTTCACATTACGAAGGTCAGTCAATACATGTGAGTGTTGTCTCACATTCTTAGGATATAGTTAAATAACCTGTAGTTTAGACTCACCTTGTGAATACTATCTAAAAGTAACTAAAAATACATTTGAATGGTAAAGAGCTTTCTGCTGTTTTCACACAGTTTTTAAAAAATTGAAATATAATTTGCTGCAGTTGTCTGTGGGTGTATGGCACCATGCAGCCGCTATTTAAGTTCCTAGCTGATGGCCTGCATGTGTTTCTCCTTTATTACTCATGTTTCTGTGACAGGGGAACATTTGTTGGTTAAATTTAAGAAAGTTACCTATTTGCTTTGACAAATTCTGAGATATAAATCACATATATTATTCCTGATTTAGTTACTGACACTTTCTAAGTTATTTTTAAAAAGAAAAAGAGCCTTAAGCCCACTAAGAACTAGATAGAATAATTAAAGAATATCAGTAAAATAAGGCACCATGGGGTGACATCTCGGGCTAGCATAATGAGGGAAAATCTCCAGCCTCAGCTGATATGTGCAGTTTCCCGGTTCTCTGCGAGTTGTGAGTTCTGGTGTGTCTGCGTATTGCCATACTTACATGTGGGTATGAGTATATGTATAAACCAGGTACTTTTTTAAAAAATCAGTAATAAAATTATTCCTGTTTTAGACATTTCTAGCTTTATTAGAAATTTAGTATTCCAGATTTTGATGTCAACATATCTTTGATGATATTAATACTAGATTTTTTTTTTTAATAGAACAGTTACTAGAGTTCATGCACCAGCTCCCTGCCTTTGCAAACATGACCATGTCTGTGAGGAGAGAGCTCTGTTCAGTGATGATTTTCGAAGTGGTAGAGCAGGCTGGAGCTGTTATTCTTGAAGATGGCCAAGAGGTGGGTCAGCAGATAAATGTTACTGATACTAATTTTAAAAGTAATTTCCAGAAACTTGTGTAAATATTCACTTGTAGTTTTACATTGGGTTTTTTTTTTTTAATGATATGGGGTTTTAGATTGTTTCTGAACTGATAATTTTTTTGTTTTGGATTTCGTCATAATTTTGTCCTGTAGCAAAGAATTTTGCACAGTACAGGTACTGGATAAGTAATTTTGATTGACCCAAATAAGTTTTTATGTTAGAAATTATGTTGTAAGATAGTTTTAAAGGATGCATGTAAAATTCAAAATTGTTCATTGCAGGCTTTCATTGTAATCTATTTCTTTTAAGATTTATTTTTATTATAAAGGCAGATTTACATATAGGAGAGCTAGAAAATACCTCACTGTAGCCTATTTCTAATATTGAAAAATGTGACTTTTCGGGCCCGGCGCGGTGGCGGAAGCGGTTAAAGGTCCTCGCCTTGCACGCCCGGGATCCCATATGGGCGCCGGTTCTAATCCCGGCAGCCCCACTTCCCTTCCAGCTCCCTGCCTGTGGCCTGGGAAAGCAGTCGAGGACGGCCCAAGGCTTTGGGAACCTGCACCCACGTGGGAGACCCAGAGGAGGCTCCTGGCTTCGGATCAGCATAGTATCGGCCCGTTGCGCTCACTTGGGGAGTGAATCATCGGACGGAAGATCTTCCTCTCTGTCTCTCCTCTCTGTATATCCGCCTTTCCAATGAAAAAATAATAAAAATAAAAATCTTTAAAAAAAAATGTGACTTTTCCAAAATAGAATAAGCAATAGCTTGTTTTATATCAACAGGATATCATCTTATATAGATGTTATTTTAAAATTATTTGCTTAAAGTTATTGGAGGGTAAGCCTTATTTCTGCGTTTTAAAATTTTTCCTATGTATATGTAGCTACTTATTAGTGGGGGTACAATATTCTAATTTACTACATTTATAATGTGTTATAATGAAAGTATTATGATTAGCATTTCTGTATTTTCAAATATTCTGTTTTCTGTGTGTTGGAAACCTTTAAATAAATTCTTCTCTAGTTATTTCGAGTCACTTGTTTGTTGTAGACTGTAGTTGCCTATTGTGCTATGTAACATCAGAACCCTCCATGTTTTGGTAATCATTCTATCTTCACTCCCCTCTGATGCGCTTCATTCTGATGTCTAAGTGGTCATCTTTTTAGCTTTCACAAAAGTGAGAGCATGTGGCATTTATATGGATTTCTTATTGCACTCAATGTAATGTCTTCCAGTTCATCCATGTTTTCACAGTAATAGGAGTTCATCCCTATAATTGAATATTCTATTGTGTGTATATATATTATACTTAATCCATTTATTATAAATGGATATCTTGCCGAATTCTGATGTTAATATACTTCTAGTTAGGTGTTTGATTTGCTCATGTTTTTCTGGTTTCTGTTGATGTAGTGAAAAGTTAATTATTTAAGATCTTTTTACTTTTTTAATGTGGCTTTTGATTGCTAAAAAGTTTTCCTTTTCAGTGTTGTTATGTCCCGTAAATTTTTATTTGCTTATTTATTTGAGAGCCAAGGAAAGGGAGACAGATGGAGAGAGTGCAATGCTTATCTGCTTGGCTTGGTTTTCAACTGCCCACAACAGCTAGGACTGAGTCAGGCCAAAACCTTAAGCCACAAACTCAGTATCAATCTCCCATATGGGGGGCAGTGACCAGCTACCCAGCTACATTGAGCAGCACCTGCTGCCTCAGAGGGTACACATCAGCAGGAGAGCTAGGAATCCAGCCTGGGCACTGTGTTCTGGTAGAGGACGCAGGTAACCCAGCTGCTGTTGACTCCTAGACCAAACACCTGCCCATGGCTCATAGTTTCTGGTATGCTTTGTTTGCATTTGTATTGTTTCAAGCAATTTTTTAAATATCCTTTCTAATTGTTTTTGACTCAATAGTTAATTCCAAAGTATGTTGTTTATTTTCTTATGTTCTACTTACTGACTTCTAGTTGTATCCCATTGTGGTCAAAGAAGACAAGTGCCTATTCTGTTTTGTTTTTCTAGATTTCCTTTGAATTACATTTTATCTGTGAAAGTTGGAGCTAATGATAGAGATTAATGTCAAAGGAAAATAAATACTCTCCCGCTGATGCATAGTAGGCCTTTAAAGTACATCTTCTTGAGGCATTAAATACTAAAGTGTAATGTCAGGGTTTTTGGATTTTTGGATTTTCTTGTTAGATTTGCAAGTTTTTGTGAACTAATCGCTAGTTGTGTTAGGAGGAATGGGCAGTGCTTCCTGGGTGCCCTGCATGTGTTAACTGAGTCTAATATCACAGTAGGTCTCTGGTAGCAGAGTCTTCATGACAGGCACCCTGAGGCTTGGCATGGTGTGTAACTTACCTGGGTCACTCAGGTGGTCAGAAACCATGGCTGGAGTAAGATTCTAAGAGTTCATGCTTTCTTGACACTACTTTTCTTCAGAAAATTAGTGAATTATCCAAGTTTCTTATTTTGATAAGCAAGCAGCAACAGCAGTATTAAAGTAAGTGATGGTTGGCATAGAACAGACTTAAGTATTTTGCAGTAGGATCGGATTCCCTTTTTCAAATATGAGTGTGATAGATAGCTTCATAGATAGATACATACATAAATACTTTTTCATAATTAACATAATTATCCTATTTTTAAAAATCCTTTGTTTTTCTCTGTAGCTTGACTCGTGGTATGTTATTTTAAACGGCACTGTAGAAATCACTCATCCAGATGGAAAGGTTGAAAATCTCTTTATGGGAAATAGTTTTGGAGTTACTCCCACTCGGGATAGGCAGTACATGCACGGAATTGTGAGGACTAAAGTAGACGATTGTCAGGTAAGATTATCTCTTTCATCAAATACTCTTGTTTGCTTGCTTTAAAATGGCCAAGCCTATTTGGTGTTTTCCTCAGAATAGCTTCATTTAAGTTTCAGAAGCTCATAGATCATAAAGGATCAGACTGTCAGATATTTATGAAATATAAACAAAGTACATTTTAAGCATTTACCAAATTAATATGAGTTTGTTATATTTTACATCTGATATTCGCCTGTTTGGAGTCTTTCTGTGTCTTTGTTATTTTTTCTTTAAATAAAATAGGAACTTCTAAATTGTTTCTAAATTACTCGTGCTTCATAGTTGAGAGAGAAGTTGATAGTAACTTCTGCTTTTGGAGAATTCAGACAGATTTAACTTCTTTGGTCTCTGCGTATGAATAATCTTAATTTTTGCTAAGAATTAAAGTAATTGAAAGAAAAAAGAACTGATGCCGCTTGATTTCTTACCTTTGTGTTCTGCCTTGGTACGTAGTGATATTTTTATGTACTATAGATTTATTAATTGTCCCCATGTTGTTCTTGGACAGTTTGTCTGCATAGCCCAGCAGGATTATTGGAGAATTCTAAATCATGTGGAAAAAAATACCCATAAAGTGGAGGAAGAGGGAGAAATTGTCATGGTTCATGAGCACCGGGAGCTAGACCGGAGTGGGACCAGGAAAGGACACATCGTCATCAAGGTAGGCATCTTTTATTCTCACTCTGTTGGCTGATAGAGGAAAGCTTTCACCTTGCTTCCAAAAAGGCTGTGGACAAACAGCCTAATTTAAGTGTATGATTTGATTATTTTGCCACATTGGTTTTGACACATTTTTAATGAAGAAGAACTTAACTGCTTTTTGGTGTCAGTGTGGGTAAGATACTACTAGAATATACTATTCACAGTTTTCCTTCTGGAGATTCATTTTACAATTCATTGATGATAGGACATTTTAAGAGCAGAGATATTTAGGCACAAAACAAGAAAGTCAGGAACTATCTGTGAAAGTTCAGGGAGCTCCAGGTAGAGACGCAGTGCTTGTTGGGTCTTTGTGACACATTAACAGCCTGTGACTTGTGCCCGTGCCCTGTTTCTCGCCTTGAAAGGGAGGCAGCACAGTAGTTGAGAGTCTCAACACAGTTGCAGAGTCTGAGTATTAATCCCTTTGGCTGTTTCTCCTCTCTTTGTCGCACCACTCACTATAGTGCCCTTCCTTTCCTTGTTTCTTTGGAGACCCCTAATGTGGAATGGAGCATAATCATTGAAAAGAGAAGGAATAAATGCAGAATTGTTTGTTTATCCTTGGTTGTAAAATAAGTATTTTATTATTAATTGCAGGTGTAATGTTTCATTAAATAGTGAGGGAAGTAAATGAAAGATGACCGGAATATGATGTCACATGTGTTCTTGGAGAATCTGGGTGTTCCTCAAAGCTGCCTTCAATCTTTTTCTCCCCATCCCACTCCAAACCAGAGAATGTAATCCTTGTGTTTGTAGAAGGTGAACACATAGATGGATTGTCAAAGACAAATGCAGTACTTCTATAATTTAATGTTTTATCTTGAGTGAGGATTCCTGGTGTTTTTGTTTTGTTTTAATATTAAAATTTATAGAAAAGCTGCAGTGGTAGAGAAAGTGCCCTAAGTCAGATTCTCCAATTGCTAGTGTTTCACTCCTTTTGCTCCACTGTCAAGTCTTTCTCTGAATCTTTTGAGAGCACTTGAAAGTGTGCTGCCTCATCACTTCCACAAAGTCCATTGTACATTTACTAAAAATAAGAACACTCTGCTGCAGCAAGCACTGTAGAATCCTTCAAATTAGGAAGTGAACATCGGTCAAATAAAGCCATTTGGCACTAAGACACTAATTAGATTCTCACTACATTTCTCGGTGATCCTTCTGTTCTACTGCTGGGATACAAAGCCATCCAGGAACAGTTGTATTTTGTTGTCGTGTCACTTTCACCTACTCCAGTTCTTCAGTCTTTTCTGGTTACTAATATCCTCAGCAGTTTTAAAGAATAGTAGGTGACGACTCCCCTCTTGTTGTTATGCGGTGTTTCCCATGATCTGACTGAACCCAGGCTTTCCTGGCAGGAATTCCATGAAATGATGTTGTGTTCCCAGAGCTTCAAATCAGGGACACACACTGTCCACCTGTCCCCAAGTGAACATCAGTGACCCAGTGATGGTGGTATCTGCCTGCCTGGCTGCTTTGCGTAAATTTTCCATTTCACCCATTGTAAATGATGTACATTTGGTAGAAAGTAGTTCTGTAATAGTGTCAATATATTATGCACAAAGTAGGTATAAACCTCTGCCTACTAATGTTTGCTTTCGTGCATAGAATACTATTGCTGTAACTTTTTGTAAACTACTATTGATTAGTAGATTGAGGGACGTTTTCTCTTTGATTTTCTTTTTTCTATCAGTATAAATCATTTGTTACGTTTTCTTCTCATCAGTAGTGTTCTGATGCTCAGGTTGTCACAAATTAGCCAGTGAGCAGACTGTTAAAGCTTGCTCCTATATTCTTTTGACATGCCCTTATTATTCTGTAAGCACTTTGTGGTTTTCTGGAAAATAGTAAAACATCAATTTTTCTTACTTCAGCTCTGGAATTGGCCATTTCAGAGAGCCCCGGATCTTTCTGTTGGCAAACAGCATGCATTAACTGCCATCTAGGCACTCACTATAGTCTTTCCTACTGAATTACCATTTCTTTGGGACTCACCAGACCCAGATAGGGAGCAGATAGGTGTGTATAGATACACGTATATAACTTTATTGTCTCTTAGTAAACAATCATGACTTGATACTTATATTTGTAGTTTGAATGCTGTTGTCAAAGTACTGAAAATCACTTCAGTAGGGCACTGCTGTTAGATATTGTGCTTACTTACTTGCTGTGTATCATGCAGAGTGTAACCACGCCAGCTGTTTCTTACCTGCTGTGTCTGTGCTCTCTGTCTCCCAGCATCCCAGCTTTGAAAATGCTAGTGGGCTCATTAACAACTTGGTTGTGCACTTGTGCAAATGTATGGTCTCAACTGTCAAGACCTTACCGATTAGAATGTAAATGCCCCTGATACTGTTGTTCAGTTCTCACCGTTGCCAGAGCTACACATCATCCAAGAACCAGATTTCAGTTTTTCTAAACTGTGGTTAGCTTGAATAGTAAAGCCAATTTTGCTCTGTTAGACTGTTTTGGAGGGTAGGAGAGGAATGACCTATAGTCTTTTCCCTCAGGTGGGTTATATGAAAAGCCTTGCCTGAAACTTCTGACTTCCTTCTAGAAAAAAGACTTAGAGACTTCTTTTTAGCACTGGATACTTTAAAATGAATACTTTTTTTTTTTAGCATTGGATAAGAATGTTGTTAACATTAATGTACACTTGCCGTAGAGTAATTCTGAACTGTGAATTACTTGGGTGAATGAGAAAAAGTTTAGAATCATGGCAGGCAGCAGATTGCTTTGGTTCTTGGAGAGGCAGACAGATCTCCCTAATTTTTAGAAATGTCTGGTGTGAAAGCTGAGAATGGGAACTCGATCCAAGTCCCCTACATAAATTGCAGGATCCCCAAAACCCAAGCCATCAGCGCTGCTTCCCAGGGTCTAATTAGCAGAAAGCCAGATTCAGAAGTCAGAGCAGGGACTTGAACCCAGAGATTCTGATAGGAGAAGTAGGTGTCTCAACTGGCTTCCTGAGTGTGGGCTCAGAGCCTGCCACACGAGTTGGCTTTTCTCTAGTTGGTTTTTACGTTCTGTGTACTCAATTCTTAATTACCTGCAAAGAGATGAATTTTAATGCTGACTTCAAAGCTCAGAGAAACAGGGAAGTTGTTTGGATAACACTTTATAAGTCTGGATAAAGTAAGAAGTTGAAACTCTGAAAGAACAGTAAAGATTGGAGTTCTAAGTTGGAGAAACAAAGAGAGCACTCCTGGAAGGAGCAGCAGTGCCTTAGCATGTCCTAACTGGAGTGCTCCTCCAGTAGCCTGCGAGCAGAGGAGAGTTTGACATGGATTACAGTTGAAGGGAAGCTTTCGTTTTTCTTTGCTTTTTGAGCTCTCACCTCTTAGTTCTGTTGCATGTGCTGGTTGCGTCAGGGATGGCTGACAGCCCTTGCTGGGGCTAAGCAACACTCAGAGGCCCTGCTGTGGTCAGCTCCAGGGGAGTTACAGCTGGGTGAATGCTTAGGTGTTTGTTTCTCCAACATTTTTCTGTCTTCAGCTGCTGCTGGATTACAACCTAAAGAGATAACTACCACTGTTACTAAAGGCATATAGGGAAAACTCCACTTTGAGGTCTTACCAAAAGGATTGGTAACAGCGAGGAGCCAGTGCAAGTTTTTGGTTCCTGATGTGTTTGCTTATTTCATAACTGTTCCTATGCTTGGATTTTAGGCAACGCCTGAGCGTCTCATCATGCATTTAATAGAAGAACATTCCATTGTGGACCCAACGTATATAGAAGATTTCTTATTAACATATAGGACATTTCTTGAAAGCCCTTTGGATGTTGGAATCAAACTGTTGGAATGGTTTAAGATTGACAGCTTGAGGGATAAGGTTGGTTTACAAATAAAAAAGGCGTGAAAATAATATTAAACCTTTAAATTTTATTCATGAAGACTTCTGTAGTTTGAATGTTTACTTTGATAGCTAGTTTTAGTTAAACACTTCAGTGAGTTGATACCAATGTATCCTTTTGAGGTTTACACAAACATTAAAAGAAAAACTGAAATAAAAATGTGTAGCTGTAAATTTAGATTAGGAAGCATTGTGAGATTATTTGAAAATCTCATTGCAATAATTCATTATTTCTGAATGAAACAATATATAAAAGCGGATTGATAATTTTGAAAGAATACTATATTTGTAAGAGGGTTCAGGTTATTTTTAAGCCTCAGACTATGAATATATTTGTATTTCTGAGTTAGACTTTATAATAATTAAAAGTAATTTTCAAGCCCTAATTTATCTCCTCTGACTTTAAAATCTACCTTTTGAGTAGTTTTTGCACTGCACAATTTTTAGAGTAATCTACCTTATTTCATGTACTGTGTTTGTATATGTCATGTAAGTGCTGATACTACCATATCAGTAAGGCAGGAAATAAGTTGGTTTTTAAAAATAAAAACTAAGTCCATAGTTGCCTATTATGTGTAAGTATTATTGTATTTTAAATGAAATTTTATGGAGATAACTGGAATTTTTTGAAGACCAGAATATCCACAACCACAAGAATACACTTCCACTTTTTTGGAATTAAAAACATCTCATTTTGTGCTGAAAATATAAAAACAGAATTAGCAAATATATACAGGGATAACTGGTTAACTCTATGAAGAAGAAAAAATTAAATCCTTAAAAATCCTTAACCAGTTATGAAATTTTAATCAAAATGAGTTAGAGACCTAAGTAAATACATGAGCTAAAAACTAAAACGTACACCTGGGAAGGAAAAGGTAAGGTGCAAGTGATTTCTCCTAAGTGACAAAGCACAAACAACAAAAGAAAAAAATTAAACTTTGTCTAAATTAAGACTTTTTCTACATCAGACATTCTGTCAGCAGCGAAGCTGAGACCACACACAGCATAGAACATGTTTGTGAAACATGGCTCAGGAGGTGCTGGTGTCAGAATTACAAAGAGCTCTTGAAGTCATTGACAGTATTATTTTTAAATGGGCAAAAGACATGAAAGATGTTTCTCTGAAGAACTTGTATAGGTGGCTAACAAGCACATGAAAAAATGTTCAATTCCCCGAGTCTAGGAAATGCACTTTAAAGCCCTCAGTGAGATACTGCTATATATCCACTAGAATGGTTTGAAAAGAAACAAGTGAAGTACACAGTGCCTGGTTGTGGAGCTAGCCAACCTTCTTGTCCACTAGCAATAGCGAGGGAGCCTTTCCTCTGTTAGGGACCATTTTAATACTTACAGCTTCATCCACGGGCCATGTAAACTCTGTCAGCTTAAACTTTAGTTTGCTGCAGATTCAATTTTGAGTCCTGCCTGTGGTGGCCTTGGGAGGGCCAGACCACAGAATTTTGAGAGCTTATTGTGCAGGCCAGCGGTGCCCCAGCCCTGTGAGCCTTCACTGATCCTGGGATTGCAAAGCAGTCTAGCCTGCCTGGGAAACTGTTGGGCAGTTCTTCAGCACAGTTCATCATGGAGCCAACATATAGCCCAACAATACACCTGCTCCTCGGTGTGTACGGAAAAAACTGATAACAAATATACATTCAAAACCTTGTTGACTAAAAATATACACGCCAGCACTTTGTGACAGTTGCTAATGGTAGAAACAATCGAAGTTCCCATCATAAACAAAATGTAATATAATATATAATTTTAAAAATACTAATATAAGCATGGTAAGTGAAGGGCAATCACAGAAGGCTACATATGACATTCTATTTTTATAAAATATCCAGATAGGCAAATAAACAGGGAGCAGAGAAGTTTAGGGGATCTTGGAAGGGACATTTGGTAAGTGACTTTTCAGTAGGTATAGTTTGGCTTGCTTTTCCGAGGTGATAAAAATATTCTGAAAATACGTGGCATGATAACACAATATCATGAACTATATTGAATGTTCTTAAATATTTAAATTTCATTTGGTAATGGTGAATTTTATGTGTGTCCCATCAATTTTAAAATACACCTCAAATCTTGATTAGGTGTGTTACTCAAACCATCTTGCATTTGTTAATTGTTTACTTTTTTCTTAATCTCTGGAGCAAAGTAAACAAGTCAGTTCAACACTTTGAAAGTTGACAATGATTTTGGTTAAATTTGTCACTGGCTATAGAAACAATTTTAAGTGATCATGCACATTTTCCATGAATTTTTTTGAAGTCCTCTTGTAGATCTCTCGTTCCTCTTACATGTTACCAACACATGCTTGTCCTCTCTGACTCTGGGAAAGCTCAGACTCAGCCAGGCCTCTTTTTGATGGAAGGCTTTTTGTGTATGAAGGCGGGAGAGGAAGATGAAAGCCTCAAACTCAGTTCTCTCAGTTTGTCTTTGGAACCGACTTTTCTAAGCATAGGCTACCTCCTCTGTTTCCACAGGTGACACGGATTGTATTATTGTGGGTAAATAATCATTTTAATGATTTCGAAGGTGATCCAGCTATGACTCATTTTCTAGAGGAATTTGAAAAACATCTAGAAGATACGGTAAGGCCTAAAAGCATTTGTCTTCATCATTGAGGGATTGCATAATGTCAGGTGCCCAGAAGTGCAGAGCAGCAACAGCCTTCATTTTGTGCTGTGTCTAAATGCTCCTTCTACAACTGCTACCCTGCACCCTCGCTTGACAAGCTCCTTGTTGGTGTTTTTATTTCTGTTTTAAGACATTGTAAATTGCAGTTACCAGGGAATAAGCAAGTCCCTTGATTGAACCCAAGAAATATCCCTGACAAAGATGTACAGTCATTTGCCAAAGTCATCCATATTTTTCTAAGCATATAGACATTTTCTGTGGTTCATGGCCATTTTTTGTAATTCCCTTGTTTAGGACTGTTATTTCATTATTTCTGATTTGTTCCTGTGGCTTAAATGGGTCTTAGATCTAGTCTTTGTTCTTCCTTGTCTATTCTCTGAAGCCAAAGGTGTATTTTTAAACCACAAATACAGTAGGTTTTGCTGTCTTTTGTCAGTAAACATATTTCCTTCTTAAGTAGTTTCTCATATATTCAGCTCCCTCATTTAACTTTTCAAGCTTTTTCTTGCTTACATTATAAGCAGCTAAGACTCTGGTGCTTCCTACCAGTTCTGCATCTCTCATGTCACTAGAATTCTCTGATCTGAGTCCTGCAGTTTGGAACTATACACTTCAGTTCACATCTCATATATCAGATCTGTAGTAAGGTCTGGGTCTCCCTTCTGCCTATCATGGCTAAGACAGAAGGTCTTACTAACTCTCACAGTAGCTGTTTATGAGTACCAGTTCCTCTCCACGATGCTCCGCTTCATTCAGCTCCCTGCTTGTGACCAGAGAAAGCAGTGGATGGTGCCCAAAGTGCTTGGACCCTGCATCCACATGGGAGACCCGAAAGAAGCTCCTGGTTCTTGGCTTCAGATTGGCTCAGCTCTACATTGCCACCATTCTGGGAGTGAACCATTGAATGGAATATCTTTGTCTCTCTACCTCTCCTTCTCTCTGCAAATCTGCCTTCCAATAAAAGAAAACAGTTTATTTCGCTTTTGTTTTGTTTTTTAAGAAAGTGACGGTAATAGAGATCTTAAATTGGCAGTTCAATTCTCAAATGGCTGTAATAGCTGGGACTGGGCACAGCCAGATTCAGGAACCAGAAACTATCTGGGGTTCTCATGTGGGTGGGAGATGTCAAAATGCTTGGCCATGTTATGCTGTCTTGCTAGACTTGGGGCTTAAATTGCCGCTCCATTGTGGAATGCTAGTTTTGTGAGCCACTTACTCCGTTGTGTCATACCACTAGCCTTGCCCTCCTTCAGTTTCATTTACCCCAGTTTACATGTTCTATAATCATTTGTTTATAGTTCTAATTTGATTAAGTCATTTTCTTAAAACAGCCCTGACATTCATTATATTTATGTGTGTGTTATCCTTCTCTGTTTAACAGAAAATGAATGGTCATCTGCGGTTATTAAATATTGCTTGTGCAGCAAAGGCAAAGTGGAGACAGGTTGTGTTGCAGAAGGCTTCCCGGGAGTCCCCTCTGCATTTTACCCTTAATGGAGGAAGTGAGAAAGGATTTGGTGTTTTTGTTGAAGAGGTAGAACCAGGTAGCAAAGCTGCCGATGCGGGATTGAAACGTGGTGATCAAGTAAGTGAAATGATCAGCTCTTTAAAGCTGCTTTACGTGGTATGTCTGCTACTTCTGTTCTCACTTGGTATGTTTTCAATTAAGCTTGGTCAATACAAAGAAACATTTTTCAAAATCAGTTTTGATAAGTGGTATTTATGATTTACCTTAAAAGGGTAACGTGTTTGCATGATGGAAGATTCGATGTAGTTGGCCAGAAACAACATGGTCTGCTTCTGCCTTGTGAACTCCTTTAAATAGGGCTATCAACCCAAGGATAAAAAACAAGTACAGCCTTAAATTATTCCAGAAAGAGCAATACACCCACATGAGTTCCCTGATTTGCATGTTTTGAAGGAGGGGCTGTCAAGTGCAAGTGATCAAAAATTACCATGAATGATGGTACCAGATGAAATAATGTTTGTGCAGTAACTTAACTCTTGAGTAGGCCAGTCCTACAGAGGGACTAGGAGAAAGGTGACTCCAGGAGGAATTCAGAAGTGATTTATTTTTTCATATCGTCATTAGGTTTATTTCTGTACATGATGCAGTCACAACCTTGTTTCATAACAATATGCACTTTCCTGGGTCACCTCAGTCCTATTAATCATGTTAATCACATTCTTAAGGGATGAGGTTTAGGAGTCTGTATTTTGAACACAACTTTGTAGGTGATTCTCCTGAATGTGGGCCAAAACATGGGTTCCTAAAATCTAGCTGTCTCAGAATCACTTGAGAAACTGTTTTGCCTTTAAAATTTTGTTGATTCATTTAGAATATGGTTTTAACTGAGTCACGCTACCATAGTTTTTAAATTACATAGGTGTTTCTGTTTTATAATGTTTTACATTCCCAGCCAGTTGATGTTTTTGCTGCCCAGGGCCATTTGCCAATTTCTGGGTGTGCTTTTGTTTATTGTAACTTGGAGATACTACTGGTGTACATACAGCAGAGGATTGGCCAGCTTACAGTACAGCCCCAGCTAATCCAGACATTTGTGTGAAAGGTTAGGTTACTCCTAAAAAGTAGCCATAGTTACTTTCTTTCCATCAAGGAGGTTTTTAAAAATTAAGACCTCTGGGCCTTACCCACAGGCTCCTCATTAAGAATGTCTAATAGCCAAAACCCTGGGTGAATATGTTTGTTGTTCAAGCATTTTATCATAAACCCATTGAAGAATCACATTTTCTCCATAAAGAGAAAACAAAAAAAGTAATGAAGTACAGTAACTTTATTCCTGAGAATAAATTCATTGTACTTTCATTTTGATGTTTAATCTCCCAATTGCTTTTTAATGATACGGGTTTACTCTGGATTGTTGCTAGCTTAACAGTATGTGTCCTATTTCCAGAATTCCTTTGTCATTTACATTGTTTTCTAAACTTAGAAGGGCAACTGTAGACACCATTGCTTTGACTAATTGCAGTGACCAGCTATGTTTGATCACTGTATGTCCCTGGATTTATTTCAGTTATCTTCACCTTTTCTTTCCTTGCCTGGCTCTTATTTCTCTTTCCTTGGTGCTTTTAAGATCCACCCCCCACACTTGGGTTTAACTTAGAGAATTTGACATCTATTCAATTTTTCTTTTTTCTGGCAGTATGATTTGTATTTTTTTTTTTAAACCTTGGAATTCTTGCATCTGTCCTCTAAAGCGCACTGTGCTTTTTGCTCCATGACTGCTTGCTGCAGTCCCTGGTGGGAAGCGATTTGAGATGTATTTAGAGTGCTACTTTTGAGTCAGCTGTGTCTCTTGGAAATGCAGTACGTTTACATTTAGAATATTTGATACAGTTTGTACAAAGACAATTTTATTAACCTGACATGATTAAACTGTTTCTACACAGAGCAAAAATTGTACATGAGAATTGGGAAACAGAGCAGTATAAACATATAGAAAAATATTAATCAGTGGTTTTGTTCTTAGAAATGTAATCATTGTTCACCTAAGTGTGGGTTTTATTCAATTTCTGTTGAATAGTGTTTATCTGAATTTTTGAAATACTTTTTTTTTCCTTAAGATAATGGAAGTAAATGGACAAAATTTCGAGAATATCACGTTTGTGAAGGCCCTTGAAATTTTGAGGAATAATACACATCTTGCACTTACTGTAAAGACCAACATTTTTGGTAAGTCTTGCTGTAGAAACTGTGGGACTTTTCCCCCTCTTGATAGAGACAAGTCAGGGAGACGGTAAAACATAGAAGTAATTTTTGTCTAAAAATTGAGCTATTTTGTGGCTCCTTCGTGGTTACTATATTTTAGATTTTTCACTTTTCATTGTTAGTATTTAATTGTGATTTTGCTATCTTGACCTCCGAGTTCACTACCTTCAGTTAGGGAGTCGTGAGATGTCTCCAGTGTAGTAAGCACTCTGCTGGGGTGCTTGATGAAACTCAGAAGTCAGATTTGGCTTGTTTTCAAATTGGTCAACTTCTCATCCTGCAGCTAGCTTTCTGAAGTAATGTAAGAGCCAGGTTTTATGGAAATAAATTGAGTAGAGCATTGAATTTAATAAGTTGTGTGTTACAGATTTAAAACATTTGGAATGTAGTTCAGCCAAAAGAACTCAGATAAAAAGAGGAGAAATTCCAAATGTTTTAAGTTTCATTATGATGAAGTACATTAAAAGGAGGAGCTAATGTGAGGCAAAAAGCAAAACAAAAACTGCAAAACTCACACTTCCTCTCCACTGGGATGATTACTAAAATAAACGCTTAACTTCTCTAATTGTAATGTACACAACCCTCAGATTTTTTCCCCCTTTTTACTTCTTAAGGGCTGCTTACTGTTGTGCTCAGAATTTCAGCAGAAATCCTGTTGTGTTTAATGAAATCAGCTGGTAGTATCTTTCCTAAAAGCTAACAACAAGAACAACAAAAACACCCAAGTGATTTAGTTAAAGTGCACATTTCATATATGCTTAATCAGTATGGTGAAAACACAGCAAAGGAACTAGAGGTAACATTTTTACACAGAAATGTACAGTGTGTTACGAAGTTTGTAATTCACAACTTATTTGTGTTGGCAATTTCCCATTAATATTTTACTATAGTGTAAGTAAGGCTTCACATGTTTTTGTTTGTTTGTTTTCTGGTGTTTGGTTAAACCAGAATACCAGTTTTGAAAAACACAAAGCTGAGCTTGCTCTGCTTGCTTGGGAAACTAACTCTCCAGGCTTTAGTTTCTCCAACTAGAGTTCTTAAGAGGAGCTTACACTTTAAAATCTTGTACCAGTCCCGTGATTGGTAAATGGGATCAAATATTATATATGAAAAATGTAGACAGCATAGCGTAGTGTTTAACAACACAGGAAGTGGGAGACAGAGAAAGTTGATGTGAGGAATGCAAACGGCAAAGGAGCCATACCCTTGAAACACTTGTGGCAGAAGCTAATGGTTACACGGTGCCACAGAAAGGGAGGCGTCACAGTCAGTTTCTCCTTTATCCCAGTAGAATGCGATCAGCCAAGCAGAGTACCCAAGCGTAGTAATCAGCAGACCTCCTGCTCATGAACACATATATAACATTTCCGGAAATGGTTACTGATACATCATTGGACGTGTGTCTCATAACAGTGAACCATAAGATGACTCCCCTGTTGATCTGAGTTGATCTGCTTGTGTTCCTGTTACAAGGTTATCTGCAGCTGATTCTTTACATTTTTCCCAGGACTTCAGAAAGAGCTCCGTCATTTGTTTTTTGTTTGCAAAACAGCTGTTAGGGATTGCAAGTCACTCACTGTGCCAGAGTTAGGCAGAGTACCACTACGGGCTGTTGTATCACAGGCAACCAGTCTCTTGCTGCTAAGCAAGGGGACGAGCATTTAAAAGATACTTGAAAATATTTCTGAAACTACAACAGCTTCATCCAGATGTGAAGTCCCCAATAAAGCACTAGTAATTGGCATACAGTGAAATGGAGCTGAGATCATGCTGTGTGGAACTCTCGGGTACAAAACCAACAGAAGGGAAAGCTGACAAAGAAGGTTTAAATCTGGAGTAGGGAGCTTTTTTCCCTACCAAAGGGCATTTGGGTATTTAGGACATTAATACATTGACAGGTCATACAAAATTATCAATTTAAAACTTAGTCACTTGAAATTTCATTGAATTTTGAGGCTTTCCTATGGTTGCCTTCCTAGGACCAGACCCAGTGAATGCCCAAGCCTTATGTGGCCAAGCAGGCTGCACTGTCCACACACCTGACTTCATTTTTATGTTTAGCAGCTTATAGTATAAAAAAATAGTAAAAATAAAGTGAAATTTTAAAAAAGATTTTGAAAGGAACAGAATATATTTTGTTTAAAGCACAATATCCTTGAAAAAGTATTCCTAGTTGTTTTCATTTTTTTGAGGTGAAAAAAATAATTTCTGAAAGTTGTTCTGTGATTTGGTATTACAGTATCATCATCCTGGTTAAACCCTGAAAAACGTTCGTATGTTAGAACTAAGGATTGAGCTGTTAACTGCTGTAACGGCAGCTCTGAAGGCATTTTTCTTACAGTCCTTTGATGCTGTGAGAAACTCTTGCTTGCTTTTAACTGCTAAGCAGTGGAGAAGGTCGCTGTCTGTGGTTGGGTTCATTGGGCACGTTTCTGACGATGAGTGTTTCTGAAGTGTGCTGCACACAGCGGCCCCTGTGGCTGAACCCTCTCTGACAGTTCTCCAGAATGTTCAGCTCTCATTTGACCATATCATGTGTCACCAGAATCTGAACAACTGCTTTGATATACAGTGTGTTGATTGTTACTTACAAGTCTTGCTATATATTCTAAACATGTTAACAACCTGCCCACTTCCTCTCCAGTTGCCCCCAACTGACTTACTGTTATCACTTTTGAGTGATATCAGAAATACCATCATGCTGGTAACTGAAAAATTAAGCAAATGAAGCTGGTAAACAAAAGATAGGTATAAATGTGATGTTTGATTGAATGGTGCTCTGAAAAAAAGATAAGAAGCACCTGTGTTTATTCTTAAGCTTTGTTATAAAAACTTTGTAGTGAGAAAAAGAAGTGACTATTTGTTTATTTGTACAGTGTTCAAAGAACTACTCAGCAGGGCTGAACAGGAGAAGTGCGGGATTCCTCATATTCCCAAAATCGCTGAAAAAAAAAGTAATCGTCATTCCATCCAGGATGTGCCGGGGGATATTGACCAAACATCACAGGAGAAAGCAAATAAGAAGGTCAAAGCAAATACTGTTTCAGGAGGAAGAAACAAAATCAGGAAAATTTTGGATAAGACACGATTTAGTATCTTGCCTCCAAAACTGTTCAGGTAGGTAATACTAGTATGTAGCAATTTTTGTATTGATTGTAAAGTTTTTGTTTTATGAGATTTGGGTCAGTTTTTCCTTTTGCACAACTAATTAATCATGAAATCCTTCAGCAATATTTAAATAGGAAAGCATGAACTTCTGTCACTTCTGAGAAGTTAACCACTGTTAGATTATGTAACCTTCCATTAGCATTCTTTCAACTCTACAAAGACAGTTTTATTTTATGGAATAGATTTTTATGTACTTTAGGACCAATTTTAATACTCCTGTCTTTAAGTTCACACACCCTGAATAGCCAGACACATTTATTGCTGCCTTTTTTTTTAATCAAATGTGTTTTCTGTTTTGTAGTAAAATAACCCTGAATCTAAGTGACATATAAAGATTTAAAATTCAAATTAAGTTCTCTGAAATGCTGTTTATCAGTCCACTGAAGTGTCAGATTTCAGGATGAGCAATATTATGTTTTTCTGTGTTTTATAGTAGCAAAACAAAAAATTCTAATCAAATGTAGTACTTGTTGAAGTCAAGACATTGAGTGAATCAGTGAAAGAACGAAAGCATATTCAGGCACATAGTCTTCAATGTTTCTTCAAAAATCTCAAAGATTTTCTCACCCTCCCCCCGCAAAAGATTTCTTTCCACCAATACAATGTAAAGTAAAATTCTCACAGTATGTCGTAGGAAAAGTTGGAAACTTGACGAGATAGTCTGTTTCAGAACAGCACAAGGCATCTCGGAAGATGCAATGATTTCCGTTTGTCTCGTGCTGAGATTCTATGTTGAGTTTTGGGTCATGTATTACATGGTTTCTGGTCATGTATTACAAGGATGAAAATATCTAGCAATCTTGATCTACTAGAGATAGATACAGGGATGAGGAGAGGTATCAACAAGCATAGTTCTGTTTTGTTTTTAAAGACTTATTTATTTATTTATTTAAACTTAACAGAGCTCCTCTGCCTGCTGATTCATTCTCCCAAATGATAACAGCGATGAGCTGGAATTCCAGGGAGTTGGATCAGAAGCAAACACCCAGGATTTGCACCTGGACTTACGTTGAATGCCAGTTTTGCAGATGGCAGCTTAGTGCGATGCACCAGAACACCATACCCAGCTGACAGGGTTTTTCAGCTAGAGTTGATACTTTATCATTTGAATAGAACAAAGGAAAGCACAGCAGACTTGTTGATACCCAGACAGTGAGTATAAAGTCTAATGAACAGGCCAAGGAATGCTTGGAAAGGGTATTTGAAAACAAGGGAAGGCCAAAGAATTGCAAGAGTATCTAGGTCAAACAGTAGAATATCTAGAATTGATAGTCTTGTTGGTCATGTAATTTTGCTGGGTTTATTAAAGTCCATAATTTTATGACCAAAAATTAAGTAACTAAAATAGGATTTAGGAAAAAGTGGTCAGAAGTCAGATGGCTGCCAGTTTAGAATTTCTGTGTTGGTTTTGGGTTATAGGGAATGACCAGCAGAACAAGGTGAAGAGGAAAGCAGTGAACAAAGACAGTTTGTTCACATTTTGCCAATTATGAGGACGTTTGGGAAATGACAGCTAGATGGCATGAATTGGGAAGGAGAAGCAGGTGTTTGATCTGGGTGGTAGTAGAAATGGTTTGACAACAGAATGGGGACCAGAGAGGCTCATAGAAGAAAAAATACTTGCTACGGACAGGAGTCAATGTGCTTGAAGGGCAGCAGTGTCTGGTGGAGGCAGGAGGAGAGGCTGAGCGAACTGACAATAGGGGAAAACTTGAAACATCCTTTATTGAGAAATTATAGAGAACAACTCTTTGGGTGGCAAAGAGGGCAAGTTTCTAGGCAGGATTGGAGGATGTTTGCAGTTGCCAAACTGCAGATGCCAAACTCAAGGTGATAGCAGAGCCTGGAGGCTGAACATCCAGAGGAGGCAGTGTAGTAATACTGGGGATGTGTGATCTGCCAGTTCCTTTTTTGATCAACACTCATGTCTGCACACATGTTGAGCAGATTTTTCTGCCTATGTATTTTAAAAAGTATTTATTTTAAACATGCATGTACAGTTCTATTTATTGTGTTTGTTGTTGGACTTTGTGAGTTGTATATAAAATAAAATTTAAGGACCTCACAGGCAGCTGAAGTCCTCGCCTTCAATGCCCCATGATATCATATGGGTGCGTTTTTTTTTTAAGATTTTATTTATTTTAATTGGAAAGTCAGATATACAGAGAGGAGGAGGAGAGACAGAGAGGAAGATCTTCCGTCCAATGATTCACTCCCCAAGTGGCTACAATAGCTAGAGTTGAGCCAATCCAAAGCCAGGATCCCGGACCTTCAATTGGGTCTCCCACACGGGTGCAGGGTCCCAAAGCTTTAGGCCTTCCTCAGCTGCATTCTCAGGTCACAAGCAGGGGAGCTAGATGGGAATTGGGATTAGAACCAGCATCCATATGGGATCCCAGCACGTTCAAAGCAAGAACTTTAACCACTGCGCTGTTGTGCCCGACCTTGGGAACCAGTTCTAATTCCGGCAACACTGTTTCCTATCCAGCTCCCATCCAGCTGGAAAAGCAGTTGAGGACAGTAAAACCCTTGCAACCCTGCACCCATATGGGAGGCCTGGAACTGGCTCCTGGCTCCTGGCTCCTGGAAGATCTTGCTCTCTCTCTCCTCCTATCTGTATATCTGCCTTTCCAATAAAAATGAATAAATCTTTTTAAAAGATACAATTTAAAGCATTGAGAAAAAGATAAAATGGTTTCAATTTCTTATTTAGGAATTTGTATCAACAGTTCTCTTCCCCATTGCCAGTAAACCTAGCAGTGCTACTGTATTGTGTAAAAGTATTTTAAATTCAAGCAAAAAGGGAAAAATGTTCTTTTTGCTGAAATCTTATTCACAATCTTGAAAATACATCATTTAACTTGATACAGATGATTGGAAACATGAAGAATTTTGTTCTTAATCTCATTTGTTTTCTACAAAATTCATTACTCATTCTTTTGTAAATACTGTCCCTGGGAAAGTATTTCCGGTTTCTGTAGTTCCCTATCCCCTGTACTTCTAAGTGTAAACAAGTATAATATTTTTCCTAAGTTTATACTGCTCTCAGTTTTAGGGAAAGTACTCTCTTTTGCTGACGTTTTAAAACACTTCATGGAGAAGCAGAGAGCTACTGCTTGATTCCACAAACACCTGCAGTGACTGGGCTGAGCTGGGGAAGCCAGGCCTCTGTGCATGGTAGGAAGCTGGTTCGCTGAGTCATCACGCCTGGCTGTCTGCATTGGCAGGAAGCTGGGAATCAGACTGAAGGACTCTTGTGTGTGGCATGGGGGTCAGCAACGAAGCTAAACAGCAGTTGTAAAAATAGCACCCTGTTTTCCTCTGTGCCCAGACTCCTGTGTCCCCTGATTTAATTCTTGCAGTTGTCTTTGAGGTAGACAGTATTGTTCACACTTGGAAATGAGGAAAACAAAAGTGGGGTCCAGCAGCCATCGCTGGGATCTGTCTTGATGCCTTGCTTGTTCTTGAGGCACCACGCTTTGTTTTCTCCTATGCCTCATGCTTCGCCCCGACTCCTCACGGCTTGTTCTGGCCTCTTTTCTTTGCTAACATCTCGTTAGCTTTCTTAACACTTCCTCTCGTCTTGCACAGTTTCCTAATTAAATAAATTTTATAGTTGTAGCATATTTTCTGTAGTTTTTTATAGCTGTTTATAATCCTTTCTGTAGTAAAAGCTAAGTATTGTGTGGTCTGTGTGTGGCAGCTGCTGGAAGTCATGAATTGAGGACATTAATGTTAGTTTAAGTGCAGCCCCAGACAGAAACAGTGTTTGATAAAAGATGCCAGTGTGAATCTTTTTTTAAAACTTTCAAAAATTTTTAATTCATTGTAAAGGCAGAGAAATGCAGAGAAACAATTTTTTTTTTTTAATTGCTGTCCTGTGTTGTTGTACAGCTGTCTCTCAATTAGGGTTGTGCTTGAAATTTAGGCTAACATTATCTCTGAGGTTATCTAAAGCATAAGTAAAAAAAAGTGTTATGTGTCTTTGATTTTACTTTTGTCAGTTGGCTGTGTGATGCTTTCTAAAACATTCTAACAGAAAAATTTGACTACTTAGGTGTGATTATTTAATTAATACGTTTGAAACCATTCAAGGGAATTTGCTTTAGCCGACTTGCTTTCTCTTCTGGTCTTTGTTTTTTGTCTGGAAAACAGCCAAATGTTAAGGTTTGAGAGATCACAGAAGGAATAACGCCTTTTGAATAGTTTAAAGACCAAAAACTCCCCCTTCTGTTGACATCTGTGTTTCTTCTGTATCTTAAAATCTCTTAGTTTGTCACTTGAGTTTGTTGTATTGTTACCTGCAGCCTGCCATAATTTAGGTTCGGGTTTAGACCAGCTTTGTCTTTTGCCTGGAAGGTCACCAAAAGAAAGCGGTTAAAGCCAGGGTATGTTCCTGTGTGGCAGCTGTGTGTGTTGGATGATACACTCGTGCACTTACTTCAAGGGATTCCATTGAGCTTCTGTATTCAAACCAGTAGATACTAACATGATAATTTCTTTAAGATAATATAGGTAGTGTCAGTTGTATTTAAATATAACTGTTGCAGATAATTTATGGCTGTTTTCATAATTACAGTTGTCATTTTTTAATTGCTTTAACATTTTTATCTTACTGCTGAAATCACCATATGAAGTTAATTTTGTTAGTTTTTAGTGCATAAAGAACAAGGGCTTGCTACGTGAATGCCTTCAATTACTTTAAAGTGATGTGTGACATTCTTTTGAAGTGATGGAGGCCTGAGTCAGTCACAGGATGACAGCATTGTGGGAACAAGGCACTGCAGGCACAGTCTGGCCATCATGCCCATTCCTGGGACCCTCTCCTCCAGCAGTCCTGACCTCCTGCAGCCCACCACGAGCATGCTGGATTTTTCCAACCCTTCAGGTAAAGCTTATGTAATCTTACGTTGCTGCGGTACCAGATGAACAAATAAATAATTGAACTTTGTGCAAATGCCAGATCTACCAGTAGCTTTTTTTGTTTCTAGTTTTTGACATGGTGTAAAAACTAAAAGGAAAAATACATATTTTTAATCTTCTTTTGGGAGTTAGGGCCTCCAGAATGAAACAGAACTACAGTTAAAACAAAAATGACTCTCCTCTTTCCACACATTGGGTTTCTTTTGCTAATACTTTTCCAGGCATAGAGAGACAGAGACACTCTATAGACAAACAGGAGGTTTTGTCAGAGAGGACAAGAAGGTACTTTTTTAAAAAAAAAAAAGATTTATTTATTTTTATTGGAAAGTCAGATATAGAGAGAGGAGAGACAGGAAGATCTTCTGTCTGCTGATTCACTCCCCAAGTGAGCGCAATGGCCAGTGCTGCACTGATCTGAAGCCAAGAGCCAGGAACTTTCCTCCAGGTCTCCCACACGGATACAGGGTCCCAAAGCTTTGGGCCATCCTCGACTGCCTTCCCAGGCCACAAGTAGAGAGTTAGATGGGAAGTAGAGCTACTGGGATTAGAACCAGTGACCATATGGGTTCCCGGCGTGTTCAAGGCGAGGACTTAAGCTGCTAGGCCACATTGCTGGGCCCTAAGGTACATTATTTTTTAAGTGGCCTTACTTAGCTTCCTCTGTGATTTACAAAAATATGCTAATAGTTTTCTAAAACTATGGATATTTCCCCCAATATCTGAAGCTGAAATGGTTCTTGTCATGCATTTTTATTATATTATTAGAGCATCTTTTTCATGGTTTTAGATTTCAGTTTGGGGTGTAAAGTTAAATTTTCCACATCTGAGTATTGGTGACAGAAAAATATGATGTGGCTTTCCATAAAAGACACAAATAATTTAAAAGTTGGGAGCGGCACAGTGGCATTACAGGTTAATCCTCCATTTGAAGCACAGGCATCCCATATGGGCACCAGTCTCTGTCCCAGTGCCCCACTTCTGATCCAATTCTCTGCTTATTCCCTGAGAAAGCAGAGGAGGATAGCTTGGAATCCTGCACCCATTTGGAAGACTTGAAGTTCTTGGCCCCTAGTTTTGGATTGGCTCAGCTGCAGCCATTATGGCCATTTGAGCAGTGATCCAGCAGATAGAACATTCTCTCTCACTCTCCCTCTTTCTCTCTCTCTCTTTCTTTCTCACACAACACACGTGCACTTTCTCTGTCCTTTTCTGTAAATATGCCTCTTAAATAAAACTTTTTTTAAAGGACTCTTAAAGATACATTTTTAAAATTGTAAATATGCAATTGAGTCTAAGGAGAGAAAGCAAAAATACTTCTACAAAGATCAGTGTAGCTGTAACTCAGCTCTGGTTTTTAACCCTATAAGGTTCCTAGCAACCAGTGTTAAGGAAGAAAACTGGATTACATAAATCTCGGTGTTAGAAGGAACTATAATAGTAAAGTTCATCTCATGAAATCCCCAGGGGTATAGTGTGGAAACAATGTTTAGTGAATATTTTCCTGTGCTTTGTTGCTTCCTGTTTATTTCACTTACATCTTAACCACTAGAGATAAGCAAACCCATTCATTTGCTTCATGGTCCAGAGTTCTTTCTAGAATAAAGATTTACTTTTTCTTTTTTATTATTTCCATGACACAGTTCTGTAGGTACAGGGATTCCTCCTCCACCTTCCTCCCTCCCTGTTTTCCTCTGCTAACATTTTCTCCCCATATAATCACAGTTATATAGTTCTTTAGTAACAATTGAAAGTTTAACATTCTGCTATTTAAGTGTAACATGGCATTGTAGGTATCAGCAAAGGTAGAAAATGTAGAAAAAGAGAACTACAGACCAACATCCCTGATGAACACAGATTAAAAAATGCTCAACGAAATACTAGCCAACAATCCATCAGAACTATCATTAACCCGGAGCAGATGGGGTTTACCACTGGCATGCAGGGATGGCTTAACAAATCAATAAATATGATACATTGCATCAAGAAAAGGAAGAATTAAAAACCGTAGGATTATCTCATTAGATGCCGAGAAGGAAGCTGGTAAAATCCAACACTACTTAATGCTTAAAATGTTAAACCAGATAAATACAGAAGGAACATTCTAGAATGGAGATTTTAATGAGACATTACTTTGCTTAGAAACTTGCAGTGGTTTTTGTAGTAGGTTGTTTGATGAAAAATTAATGTAAGCATTGTTACCAAGGCTTCAAGTTAATTGCTCCTTGGTTTAGTATAAAAGCAAGCTGAAGCATCATCAAACCCATTTGCAAACTGGGACGCATGTCTGGCGTATGCAGGCAGTTCCTTTCAGGCTGCGGGGATGTCCCTGAGATGAAGCGCCCTCTCAGGTCCTCTGCTCTGTGCTTGCTGCTGTCGTGCCCAAGGACGGCATGTTCCTGCGGGACTCTGTGTTCTTGCCTGCTTGGGTGATTAGAAGTTTTGTTCATCTTTCATATTTTTCTGGATTTTATTATTTGCCTTTTTATAGGTTAGAAATTTGTTCCCATTTTTGTGTGATTGTATACTTCTTACACATCCATAGACGATATACAGAATATTTCCAGGCTACTGAAACTCAGATTCAGACAGCATCCTTTGATAAGTATTATAGGGACATAGGATTACTAGAATTAATTGTTTTTATTGCTATATTTTTGCCATTTGTATAGGAAGTCAGTCTGAAACAGGAGAAAAGGTTGGGATTTTAAGGAGAGATGAGGGAAGTAATTGGCTGACTTAGCTGGGAGAACTAAGGAAAGAGGTTGAAATTATTACAACTCAAATTCTTATATTTGTGGGAGCTAAAATTGAGATCTCTGAAGAAATGCTGTTCAGCTTGATTTGAGATGGATTAAGTCTGAAGAACTGAAGTTGCATTTCTAAATCTGTTCAGGGAATAGCTGCTATGCCTGTTTAGAACAGTGCCCACATACCAGCAATATAAACAAAAATATGATAGGTATTTAACTTAAACATTACATTTAAATCCCCAAATGTGTGACTTTGTGAAAGACCTTCTACATGGCAGTGGTATTTTTATTTATGTTGAAAACAATATAACAATTAATTCCAGATTCAGTGCTTCATGTAATAATATACAATAAGCACTGAAATTTAGTTATATAGGATAAATATGTATATTGTCATGTGTGTGACATCAACCAAGTTTGGTTCACATTATTGAGCCTTGAGCTCAGCATTATGCTGCATGTTTAAAGTTTGTATTAAATGAAACTCCTCAGCAGACTTGCAGAACTGTTTAATAGTTTGCTCCTGATTGCTGATTGTTTTATGATTTTGCTTTATTTTTGCTGCCTGTAGCTGTTGGTTTGTACTGTAAGTATCATGGTGTTCTGTTGCTTGTGTGTGTGTTGTGGCTTGTTGCTTTTTGAAAGTCAAGTGATAATAGCCAATATTGGCATTGATCCTTTTAATCATTTCTTTTGAAAATATGCTTTATATTGGTGTGGAATTAGAGTATATGTGCTTTTCTGTAACTGTGATGTTTTTGGAGTTCTTTAACATACACAAGGTGAAACTTGAAGAATTCAAAGGATAGCCATTATGGAGTTTGAAACTGTTTAAGATAAATTTTATTTAACAGTCAAAATGACCCAGACAGAGGAAGGAAGAGAGAGACCTTGCATCCCCTAGTTCACTGAAACGCCACCCAGACCTCCCATGTGGGTGGTGGACTCATTTGGGTCATCATCCACTGCCTTCCTGGGCATGTTAACAGGGAGGCGGAAGTGGAGCCAACAGGACTGAAACGAGCACTCGGGTAGAGGATACTGGCATTGCAAGTGGTGGCTTAAAGGATCTGAATCTGCATTTAAAACTTCTTGCTTACTCTTTATTTTCATTTAATAGCAAATGCCTTTATCTAATTCATTTACAGTCGTAAATAATTCCTCATTATTTTGGATTTTTACTAATCTTTTTTTTTTTATAAAGGAACCTGTAATCATAGTATTTTTAAAAACTAGAGGAAGTTGATAAAATATGAAGGTCTACACTCCCCAGAATTTATAATTGTAATTTATTTGTTTATCCTTTGGTGAGCTTGATTTTGCATAAAATATTTGTGCCATTGCCTTCACCTTAGTTGAGATGCTACAGTTTTCTTCTCCTTACCCATTTCACTTTGTTTTTCTACATCAAATTGTATCATTCTAGTAAACTTCTTGGTTAAGCTGATTTTTTTCAGCCAGTTCCTCGTTAGTGGTTACTTGCAGTGTTGTGCAAGTCTTTGTTTACTTGTCTTTAAACACATTCTGTTTGCATTATTTTGAATTTTAGCATTAAAAATTGTGTGGAGATTTGTTTTCTGTCTCATTATATGGACACTTGCACAGTCATACAGAGTTTGCTTTTAGGGGCTGCAGTAGTGAAAAGAACTTGCTTCTTGGCTCTTAACAGAATTCGGAGTAGCAGTCCCACTCACCCGCTGCCCTTTGTTGGCTTTGTGGTGCTTTTCTCTGTGGGTTATGGTGCTTTGAACTAGCCTTTGCCACTTGAATGCAAATTCCAATAGAGCAGACACAGTGTTGCCATTTGTTAAACTGACACCTAACAGGCATTCATGTGTCTCTGTTCAGCATTTAACAAGTTAAAGCAAAATGAAAAGGCAAGTTTTTTAAAGATGGCATTAAACACAGAAAGATTACTCTGATTTTACTGTAGTTTCAGGGTCATTCCATAAATCCTTCAGTCTGTGTGTGTGTGCGCGCGCAGGATTGTAGTTAGCAGTGATAATCCAGATGTCTAAGGTTCTTACTCCTCACTTGATTACCTATTGTAGATTTCTAAAAAATGAAGTGTGACTACTAAAACTAAGAAATACCGTGTCCTCAGTCTTCTTAGATGTTGTTTCCCATAAGTGCATTGCAGCTTCACACCTAGAATTTAAATGATTCAATTCATCTTTTTTATTTAACTTTGTTCCAACTTCATATTTGTAATTTATCCAGTCAACATTTGAACATGCACTGAATACTGTGCTGATTTGCATTTAAATGATACGTCAGAAAGTTCATGGACATTGAAATTTTGAAAATTTTTTTTTGTTTTAAAGATTTATTTTTATTATTTTTTCATTGGAAAGGCAGATATACAGAGAGGTGGAGAGAGAGGAAGATCTTCCGTCCGATGATTCACTCCCCAAGTGAGCCGCAACGGGCCGATACTATGCCGATCCCAAAGCCAGGAGCCTCTTCCGGGTCTCCCACGCGGGTGCAGGGTCCCAAAGCTTTGGGCCGTCCTCGACTGCTTTCCCAGGCCACAGGCAGGGAGCTGGAAGGGAAGCGGGGCTGCCGGGATTAGAACCGGCGCCCATATGGGATCCCGGGGGTGCAAGGCGAGGACCTTTAACCACTTGCGCCACTGCGCCGGGCCCGAAATTTTGAAAATTTTAGTGCAAAATATTTTTTAAGTCAAAAATTGCCTTTTCCCTGAACTTTTTGAGACTCTTTATATGTGATTCTCCCACTGACAACAGCCATGTTTATGAAGAATGTTATGGAGTTATAAATGCAATAATTCTAAAATCAAAAAAGATTGACACTGTGGGTGGTATCCATGTAGAGACACCTTTTTCTCTAATACCTCGTAATTTTCCGTGTTGGCTTCCTGGGAGATTCATCAGAGTTTGGGTTTTTACGGTTTCGGTAATCCCATTTGCAGATCTGTTGAAGACTTTACTGCTTAGCAGTTTGACTTTCACCTAGGGAACAAGCGGCTGTTACAGTGTCACTCTGACAGCGTTGAATAAGATGCACCATACGGTATATAGGTGCTGTGTATGCCAGTTCCCATGCCGTGTTTGTGAGTCAGGGTCTGGAATACAAGAGGAGTGAAGCTATCTCTAGGTGATGGTGTGGCACAAGTCCATGTGCCATTGCCTCTGGCTGTGAGCACTGACTCTAGTCCCACCTGCTCTACTTTCCATCCAGCTCGTTGCTAATGTGTTGGAAAGCAGCAGAAGATGGGTCAAGTGCGTGGGCTCCTGCAATCCTTTAAAAAGAGAAAAAAAGAAAAAAGCATCTCCCTATTTCCCCAAGTTAACTGGTGTCACTGGCTGAGCCTCAGCCCCCAGAGACTTGGTGAATTCATCCAGCTGTGGGGCCCAGCACAGCTGGGACTTGTGTTTCTGAGGAGGGTGGGAGCCCGACGGGCCACAGCAGCACACTGTCAGAAAGGCTGGTGAGGCATTTCTGTCTGGTGTCTGACTCTCGGCCAGCTTCAGTCTCCAGGCTGTTTGCCATAATGTTGCAGCCCAGGGTGGGGCAGCGTGTGTGACCTTGGTGTTTCAGACAGATCGTAAGCCTTGAAGCCTTAGAAACATGATGATGTCAGCCATGTACGTGGGGCTGACTGACTCACTCTCAGGGAACCTGCGTCAAAGGCATTTGGTGACTTCAGCCCTTGAATACATCAGGAAAAGACCGTTTCATGAATCCCTGCAGACTGTGAGTGAATGAGGCATTCTGTTTCCGACTTGACAGTAGACACAGAGAACATTTAATGTGTTGGCTTAGACTCCCTCAAGTTAAATTGATGTTTATCCATCAATTGAACCTCCCAGTTCTGGGAGTCAGTCTCATCTTTTTTATTTCATTGAAATTTCCTTAATTTCATTAATTCATTACTAATTACCAACAAATGTAAACCAAAATATGGGAATATATTTAGAGGGAGGAAATACAGAAGACTTTCAAAATGGGATACTAAAACATTAATAATTCTAATTGAGATGTGACCAAGTTTTTATGCCTACACTGTGTGGTTTTAAGGGACAATTTGGCAGAATCATGGAAATTGTCTTGGAAAGGTTTCTCCCTAAGAAGATAATCAGTTTGCCTGCTGAAGTGTGTTAGGGTAGAGAACCTTTCTTCTGCCATGGACCATATAGATATGTACATCATTCATGGGCCTTCAAAATTAACTTTAAAGTTAGGCTGCTATGCAGCTACTGAGCTTTGAGTCTGTGGTTGCTTTGGCAGGATCAAATGAGCATTTGAAATAGGGGTAATAATTTCTGTTACGTTATTTATGATAATAGAGAATGACTGGGGCCCAGCGCAATAGCGTAGTGGTTCAAGTCCTCGCCTTGCACGCGCTGGGATCCCATATGGGTGCCATTTCTAATCCTGGCAGCCCTGCTTCCCATCCAGCTCCCTGCCTGTGGTCTGGAAAGGCAGTAGAGGACGGCCCAAAGCTTTGGGACCCTGCACTCACATGGGAGACCTGAAAGAAGCTCCTGGCTTTGGATTGGCTCAGCTCTAAGCGTTGTAGCTACTTGGGGAGTGAACCATTGGACAGAAGATCTTCCTCTCTGCCTCTCCTCTCTATATATATCTGCCTTTCCAATAAAAATAAATAAACCGTTAAAAAAAAAAAAGACTGAATGCCATTAGAGGCTTGAATAATTGAAATACCTTCGTCATTTTATAAGGTACTATAATTCAAGTTAAAATTATAGAAGAACATTTAATCAAGTCAGTATTTATAATATACTACATGAAAATATTTTTGCTTTCCAAATTATATATATATTATATTATATATTTCATATATATATATTCTAATGTTTATCACTTGTAAAATACATTTTATATCACTTGTCCAAAATTGGTGCATTTACTTATCAATAAATGCAATCATGATTTCTTTTCATCTGCTGCCTGAAATAGAAATATTTAGAAAAATTACTGTATTCCAGATTGCTCTTTGGAGAGTTTAAAAGTAATTTTTTTGAAAATAATAAGTGACATCTTTGTGTTTATGTAGATATTCCTGATCAAGTTATAAGAGTATTCAAAGCAGATCAGCAGAGTTGCTACATCATCATCAGTAAAGATACTACAGCGAAGGAAGTTGTTTGTCATGCTGTGCATGAATTTGGCTTGACTGGCGCATCTGACACTTACTCTCTGTGTGAAGTTTCTGTTACACCTGAGGGAGTCATAAAGCAGAGAAGACTTCCAGACCAGTTCTCCAAGTTAGCCGACAGAATTCAACTGAATGGAAGGTATACAAGCTTATTGTTGCGGGTGCTTCTCTTTCAGTAAGCGTATTTGCAGATGTGTCTTGTGAAGATTTTCTCTTGTTATAGGTGTGCAGAATTTTGTGCTGATAGACAGCTGTTGTCCCCTGGTTGATTCCACAGATGCTTGAAGTGGCTGGGATTTGGCGAGCATAGTGTCCATAACGAGAATGACAGTCTAGGTCCCTGAAGTGACAGGAACTAGAATCCAGGGGACAGGAATTCTATTACTTGAGCCATCTCCACTGCCTTTCAGGTTGATACTGGAAGAAAGCTGAGCTTAGCCACTGGAGCTTATTGTAATACACATGAATTCCGGGGGGATACTGAGACATATTAACCACGAAGGTAATGCCCACACCGAAGAAATACTCTGTAGAAACACTGACATATGTTGGTGCCACTGGATTTCCTCTAAAGTTGAAGCAGGTTTTGCCTCTCCCAAACTTTTCTTGTTTCCGTAACTACATAAAAGGATCCTTAGGCCATTAGCATCCTTCCCCAACGTAGAAGGGTGAGAGACAGACACAGAGAAAGCAAGGATGAGAGCGTGCACTTCATCTGCAGTTTGATTCCCCCAGTGCCTACAGTGGCCCAAGGTGGTCCAAGGCTAAAACAAGGAGTGAGGAATCCAAGCTGGGTTTCCCACATGTGTAGCAGTTACTAACAGAGAAGTCTCCATTTTTAGCTCAGAGGACAACATTTCCACACCCCATAAGTATGTGTATTACTCAGTTTCTTCTTACATTTGGGGGGGAAAGCGGGGAGGTCAAGGTACATTAGTAGTTGTAAGGTTTTATTTTAGTACCTGACCTGTCTCATCCATTTACTTCATTTGGAAATTGAGAAAGAATAAAAGAAAATCAGTATATTAACAACTGTGATAGAGATTTAAACAGCCTACTTAGGTATTCATTTTCATTTAATCAGAATTTGTAAAGATTTTACTTATTATGAAGGAGTTGGAGAGACAGAATGAGGGCGATCTTGGATCTGTCGATTCATTTCACCAAATGGCTACAGTGGTTGATGCTGGGCCAAGCGGAAGCCTAGAGATTCTTCTAGGCCTCTTGCTTGAGTCTCTGGGACCCACACATTGGGCTATCTGCTGCTGCTTTCCCCAGGCCATTAGGAGAAAGGTAGGTTGGAAGTAGAGCACCAAGGACTTGAACAGGCTCCCATATGGGATGCCAGCATTGCAGGCAACTGATTTAGGAATAAAAAGGAAATGTGTTGGGCTTTGCATGGTGGCCGGGTGGCTAAAGTCCTCACCTTGCATGCTCCGGAATCCCTTATGGGCGCTGATTCGTGTCCCAGCTGCTCCACTTCCCTTCCAGTTCCCTGCTTGTGGCCTGAGAAAGCAGTCAAGAACGGCCCAAAGCCTGGGGACCCTGCACCTGCGTGGGAGACCCGGAGGAGGCTCCTGGCTCCTGGTTTCAGATGGACCCAGCTTTGGCCATCGTGGCAACTTGGGGAGTGGACCAATGGATGGAAGGTCTTTCTCTGTCTCTTCTTCTCGCTGTAAATCTGACTTGGGGAAAAAAAAAAGAGAATGTGTTCTTACACATTTTAAATTACATTTATAAACATGTTAAACTATTTTTTTCTCCTTTTAGGTACTATTTAAAAAATAACATGGAAACAGAAACCCTGTGTTCCGATGAAGATGCTCAGGAGCTGGTGAAGGAGAGTCAGCTCTCCATGCTGCAGCTCAGCACCATTGAGGTCGCCGCCCAGCTGTCAATGAGGGACTTCGATTTGTTCCGGAACATTGAGCCTACTGAGTACATTGATGATCTTTTTAAGTTAGATTCCAAAATAGGGAATACTCACTTGAAAGCATTCGAAGACATTGTGAACCAAGAAACATTCTGGGTTGCCTCGGAGATTTTGACTGAATCAAATCAGCTCAAGCGAATGAAACTTATTAAGCATTTTATTAAAATTGCACTTCATTGTCGGGAGTGTAAAAACTTCAATTCCATGTTTGCAATAATAAGGTAGGTTTATACAATTAGGTGCAAAATACCTGTATTTGATTTTGTCATGACATGTGTTGTTGATTTTATGCTTAAGTATTAAATATCCAAGAAAAGTAATATTATTAGAATATTGTTAGGTACTTCTCTATTACTATGTTCTAGGTGGTATTTGTTTCTTTCCCTTCTGTGAACAGTTATACTTTGTTTAAATGTGTATCCTGCTGCAGGTATTCATATTCTGACCTTGATAGTGTGCATATTTAAATACTGCTTTACCATGATTTGATGCTGAAAAAAATCACAGTATCATCTCAGCACTCTGACATAAAAATGTTATTGTGAAATGACACCAGCAGTGGTGATAGTGACCATTTGGTACATGCTTCCTGTTTGCCTGAGGGAATTGCTGCAGTGAACATTAGAATTACAAAATTGCCCCAGCCATGCCAGGCCTTTGCGGGAGAGCCAGCAGATGGGGGAAGCGTGTGTGTGTGTGTGTGTCTGTCTGTCTGTCTTTCTGTCTTGCCTCCGCCCCCCCACACACATGCTTAAAAGTTCTGTATTTATAAGTCACTCTCTCTGAGCAGCCAATTCCAGGCAATCCATTTTCTGACCAAATGTCATTTCTGCACATTGGTGACCAACAAAAGGCTTTCTGCAAGAAAATCTGAATTCTAAAAAGGCAGAGTTGTGGTTAGTTCTTTTTATAAAAGTGCATGTGCATGTATGTATATAGCAACATAATTGCACATTAACCAATCATATAGAAGAATGGAAGATATTTTGCACCTATTGCTCGTGTGAGATATAAGTGAAGCATTGATAAGGACTCTTTAGTCATGACAGTTAAGGTAACAGGTTCAGTAGCAGTATGGAACAGGTGTCAGTTTAAAGTGACTGTTTTGAGTCAGTTGAATCTGTATTTGAATTTCACCTCTCCCACGTGTAGCAGTGTGCGGAAAACGAAAGACTGGTTTTCTCATCGCTAAAATGAAGAAGCCTACTGATGCCATAGTTTTTCGCAGCTGACTTTAGAACACTGGGACAGAGATGCTGTAGACAAACATGTAGCTGCCTGGGGATTGAGCCTGTTGGCATAGAAAGCATCCATGAAAGAACCTGAACTGCTTCAGCTCAAGATCAGAGGACTCCTAAAGTTGGTGAAAAACAGGATATAGACAGGAAGTGACACAAAACCGAAATCAATTCTCTAGTTATTTTTATAAGTCTCGTTTGTTTTATTGGGATTATAGTAATTACATAGAATGATTTATCAAACACTTGATACCTTTATAACAATGGCTTTTTCCATTTTTTTCTTATTTTTCCTGTGGATTTTATAGCTTTGTTCCTATAAAATCTTGAACATTTTTTTGAATGTTCAATGTGTTTCATTGCTGCTATGAGTAGAATTTTTACATTTCTTACTAGTTACTGATTTTGTGTATTCTAATGTTTGTGTTAATTTTGTAGGTAGGCTGCATGCTCTTATTTTTTCTAATCTTAAGTATTATTAAGGTTTTTATTTATACAGTCTAATTTTCCTCAAGTGATGTTTGCCTGTTTCATTTCATGTATGTATTTCCTTATCCTATTTTTCTGTTGATACTCAAATTTTCAATATTAATTTTAATTATGGACATTTGTACATGGTTTGTGGTTCCAGTATTTCTCCATTAAACATTGTACTGTCCCTGGATGAAGCGTTATGCGTTTGTTAATGTTACTGTTACGTTACGTTGTGTTGTGTTGTGTTGTGTTGTGTTACTGATGTTCTAAGAATGTTTTAGCATCTAAAGTAAGCATAAGACTTTTTCTCTTACTGTACGTTTTTTCTTCTCTTTATTACTGTAAGTTCTTTCTAATTCAGCATGAGCTCCATGTAATTATGGTCAGTTTTTCTTCAGATTTATTATAAAAATAATCTTTGCTATTTAGAATTTTTGTATCTTTTTTATAAGTGAATTGACTTGTGGTATAATTTGTTGGTTTGTGTATTTTAATGCCAATGTCCCATTGACTCCAAATTTGAGGATTTAATATCGTTGAGGCATTTCAGTAAATATCTAATGAAATTCGGACACAGGCAAGGGACCTAACTTGTCTCATTGTTTGGTGAGCCTGAAGTATCATCTTTTATATTGATGTTGTAAATCAGCCTGCATGTAAAATGAACAAATTAGCCTGTTGTACTCATTTAAGTTTCTGTGTTAGTACATTTACTTCACTCACTCTTTTTTTTTCATTCCCATAAGCCATAGTTTACCAAGCCTGTTCCATCTTATACTACTTATCACAGTGTTTTTCTTGTGATTTTTTTCTAATAATCTCTTGGTTGAAGTTTATTTTTTCTTGTTAGTTTTGAAAACTTACTTGAATTGCATTTCCTGAGAATATTCAAATTGTCTTTATTACATAACACATTGACAACCATATTTGGAGGCATTGTATTGAGCAACCAAAAATATGTGGCCCCTTCCCCCAACCCGATAAGCCAGTCCCCATATCATGGCATGGTGGGAGGAAGGAGGATCTTGCTTTGCGATGTGCCGAGCAGGAGATGGCACGTACTGCTCTGTTCTCAGATTCCTAACGAGGAAGGGGGGGGGGGGGTCTGACAGTGCGTGATCAGCGTGTGGCTGTACTTGGTCCACAGTGCTCCTCACTCTTGTCTGAATAGTGGGGTGGCGAAGAGGCCTCCATTCTGTGGGGTCTGCAGATATGTTTGAGGCCTTCCATTTCCTGTGAGGGTCTCAGAGCCGACCAGAGAGATGTCAGTTGTTGAATTGAAGTCTCTGGTTGGGGTCTTGTGAGAAGGACCTCATACTTGTGATACAAGTGTGTATCAGATTTTCAAGGACTATGATGCCTTTTCAATCTGGAGATCCAAATCTTTTATTTCTGGAATGCTTTATGCAAGCGTACCTTTGAATATATCTTTTTTCACTTCCATTATTTTCTATTTCCTCTTTATGACTTTTTTTCTTCTATTTATTTCCTGAACTTCACTGGTTCATTTTTTATAAATTTCTCTTATCCTAAGCTCTTGTGTCATGTTAAACTCATTCTTTTATAAACTTTTTTAGTTTGTGTTTTATAGTCAGGAGACAAGTTCTGGACCCACATCTGGTCCTCGGAGCTCAGCAGTCCAATAGTTAGTTTGCTTTTAACATTTACTTATTTTAAAGGCAGAATGACAGGTATGGAGTCAGATCTCTTCCATCCATTTCTTCACTTTGTTAGGCCAGGCCAAAGCAGGTGTGTCCAGCTCCATTGTGCCTAAGGTGCTGATAGCAGCCCAAGCATGTTCTGCATTCCCAAGCACATTACTAGGAGGCAAGATCAGAAGCAAAACAGCTGAGACTCAAAACGATGCTCTGATGGGGGATGCTGGCTTTGTATACAGTGGTTTAATATGCTATGCCACATGTGCTGCCTCTAAAATCATTTCTAGGTCATTGATTTATTCCAGTTTGTAATCTGCAATTAGTGCTCAGCATCAAACAAGTTTGAGATGTATTGCCTACATGAAATTATTTCTAGTTACAACAAGGAGTATTTTGATGCCTGAAATGTTTAAGGTCAGTGTCTATTCTGCAGAATTATTGCATTTGCCATTTACAAATGCAGTGTAATTATACAGATACAGCCTTAAATTTATTTACATGCAAACTATAAATTTAAGACCGTATGCATGCAGTTATAGGCAAGTGATGTGGTTCCTCAAAGAAATTGTTGTTTTAAGAGTGAAGAGTCCCTTGATTCCTCTTAGCTTTTTCAGAGACTTGGTATATGTACTTCACTTACCTATGACTTTCCCAGCTCTGTTATTTTAACATTTTATTTTCATCTTTGGCAGCGGCTTGAACTTGGCACCTGTAGCACGACTCAGAGGTACTTGGGAAAAGTTACCAAGCAAATACGAGAAGCATCTCCAGGATCTGCAAGACCTTTTTGATCCATCCAGAAACATGGCAAAATACAGAAATATCCTTAGTAGTCAGAGCATGCAGCCTCCAATAATTCCACTTTTTCCTGTTGTCAAGAAAGATATGACATTTCTGCATGAAGGTATTTAAAAGTTATTTGAAAACTAGCATATTTAGTTTCATACAGTTGTATATGTTATATTTACTTGTTACGTAATCCAACCTAGTAATTAATGTCACTACTTTACCCAGTTAAATGCAGCCAGTTTTAGGACTCCAAAAGTTACATTGTTAACAAAAACTCATTGAAGTGGTTATTGTATTTAATCAAATACCAACTTGATTCATCAAGATCAGACTATTCCATCATATTTATCATTTTGTTTGTTAATACTTTTCTTTCAATTTGTAGTTGAAGTTACTTAACACATACAAAAGACAAACGACTCAATAGAAGCTCTCTATCCATGTTCCTTTCTAGCTACCACTTTGAAATTTTCAGTTAACTACCATCTTGACTTCTATTGTTTGTTTATTTTCATCTACTTGAAAGAGCAACCGAAACTTCTTCCATCAGCTAGTTCACTCCCCAAATCCCTCCAACAGCTAGGGCTGGGCCATGCCAAAGCCAGGAGCCTGGGGTTCCATGGGGTCTCCTGTGTGAGCAGCAGAGGCCCAGGCATTTGAGCCATCATTGGCTGCTTCCCAGGATGCGTTAGTAGGAATCTAGATTGGAAGCAGAGCACCCAGGACTCCATTTGGGATCTAAGTGTCCTATACTGCAACTTAACCTGCTCTACCATTGCAAAAATTATTTTTTAAATCAGTTTTGCATGGAATTGTTAAATCTACTTATTTTTGTTTTATTTGTAAGGCACAGAAACAGATACAAAAACAACTCATTTCCTGGCTTACTCTCAAATGCCCACACTAGCCAGTACTGGCTCAGACAGAAACCAGGAGTTCGGAACCCAGTCCGAACCCAGTAGGTGGCAGGTATCCAAGTTGTTGAGCTGCCATCTGATGCCTCCCAGTGTGCTCAAATAGCAGGAACATTGGACTGGAAGTGTGTCTGGGATTCAGACGCAAGCCCTCCAGTGTGGGATGCAGGTGTCCCAGGTGGCATTTCAGCTGTCTTACATGTACTTTTTGTAGTCTCTAATAGATTGTGTTAATGTTTTTTAATTCTAGCTTATTTTGATCAACATTAAATTTGAAAAAATTTTCCCTGTTGACTGTAGCTGTAATTCTATTACTTAACATTTGATTTACTGTGATGCATCTGTTCTGTTGAGGGATGTTTGGTAGTTTCCACTATTGGCCTGTTGCAAATAATGCTATATGAATATTTTGTTTTTATCTATTAATGCATTTTTATTAGCTATATATTCAGGGTAGAATTTGTAGATCCTGATATTCCTACAATCAGTTTTGGAAAACAACTCCTTGTTGTTCACAACACCTGCTGAATGAAATGTTTTTATTTTCAGCCGTTCCTATAGCAGTGTAATTATATCTTAGTATGATTTAATTTATATTTCCCCAATTATATAATGACATTGAGAATACTTTTATATATTCATGTGTGTATATATAGATGTGTATAAATATAAATGATACTTTAAATTATCTCATAATTTTTCAAGAAGTAGAGAGACAGATATTGTTATCTGCTGGATCACTCTCAAAATGCCCACAGTAGCCAGGACTGCGCTGGGCGAAAGCTGGGAGCCAGGCACTCAGTCCGGATCTCCCATGTGGATGACTGGTCCTGGGTTCCTGAGTACTCACCTGCTGCCTCCCATGTCATGCCAGAATCAAGGGGGTTTGAACCAAGGCATTTCAGTGTGCGATATGGCGTTCTGTGTCTTCAATGCCAAATGCCAACCCCTTTAGTTTTCTTTTATTTATTAAGTATCTTGAGTTTCTTGCCTGTGCTTTTTTTAGCTAGCTTTGTCTTTGTTTTTAATATATTTGAAAGAAATATTTATAGATTTTGGGTATGATGTAACTTTCCATTTGCCTTTCTTAAGATTAGTTCTTAAGTTTTTACTTCTGAAGGACTGATTTAATATGCTGTGACTGTAAGGTTGGTTTGTAACCTGACATAATTTTTGTATATGGCATTATACTTTATTAAGTTGATAATTATGTAGTATACGATTTTATTTGTTTTTTTAATGCATACTAGATTTTATTTCATACATACTTGTTACTATTAACTAGTTTAGTGTTCGTTAACAATTTCTTATGTGTCAGACTTGGCAGGCTCAGACCATTTGCTCTTCAGTAACTCACCTCCCAGTGTTTTTGTTGTTGCTGTGCCTTTAAATCACACAAGATACGACTGTTTGCTAAAATGTATTTCTTTCATCTCAGCTATGTGTTTCCTTGTATTGTTACTCCTCCTTGCATTTCAAGGTTTCATAATTGGGTAGATGTGGAAGGAGAGTGAAGTTTTTGTATTTAGAACTATAGCTTACATTTAAATCATGTTCATTAGAAATAGTATTGTTTTATTCATCTGAAAATGCCTGTACTTCATTATCAAAAGTGTATTTTTGGTTGGCAGCTGTGTTCTTCTAACACTTTGACATAGTGTGAAAACGCAGTGGCTGTTTTGTGCAGATCTCTGGAGGCTATCTTTGTGCTGTGGCAAATGGCACTCTGCAGCTGGGATTCAGTTAAAGATTCTGAGATAGAGAGATGAGCTAGGATTGTCTGGTTGACTGAAGGTAAACACCAGGATCCTTACAAGTGGAAAAAGGGGGCCCAGCATGATGGCCTAGCTGCTGAAGTCCTTGCCTTGAATGCACCAGGATCGCATATAGGCACCTGTTCTAGTCCTGGCAGCCCTGCTTTCCATCCCTGCTTGTGGCCTGGGAAAGCAGTCAAGGACGGTCCAAAGCTTTGGGACCCTGCACCTGTATGGGAGACCCAGAAGAAGCTCCTGGCTCTTGGCTTTGGATTGGCTCAGCTCTGGCCGTTGCGGCCACTTGGGGAGTGAATCATTGGATGGAAGATCGTCACTCTGTATATTTGAATTTCCAATTAAAAGAAAGAAATCTTAAAGATGAGAGAGAGAACATGTGTGCTGGCTCACTTCCCCAAATGGTTGCAATGGCTATTGCTGAGCCAAGTGAATACCAGGAACCTGGAGTTCAGTCCAGGCCTCTGACGTGGGTGACAGCATCTGGGGGTCATCTTGATCTTGAGTCACCTTTTGTTTTCCCAGACGCATTAGCAAAGAGCTGAATTGGAAGCTGAGCCCTGAAGCTCCAAATGGCTTTCTGATCTGGGATGCCCATGTCACAGGTGCTGACTTAATTTGCTGGACCACAAGCCAGACCTTTTTCTGGCATCTCCTTTGGGAACGGTGCTTTAATTTGATAGGTCTAATCTCTCTGCTTCTCATGTGTTCTCCCATGTAATGCTCATCTGTTCCGCCATACTTCCTTCTGATATTTTCTTGCACCCAATTTTGCTGCTTATTCTCTCATGAACTATGTGCAGTCTCTTCTTAAATATGTCACTGAGTTTCTGATTCTAGTTACTGTGGGTTTTTTTCCGTTTGTTTAGTTTTGTGTTCCTTGCTGGCATCATTTCTGCATAGTTACGTTTGAGGTTTTACTGGTAACTTGATTATGTGTATCCCTGTGGGTCTGTTCATGTTGTTTTCTTCTTTCTTTTGTGTTTAATCTTGTTTCCTTTCTCCTCATGTACCTGGTTATCTTTGATAAGGTAATATAAGTGTTTTGTGTTTTAAAACATTCAGAAATAAGAAGAGATTTCAAATGTTCTTTTCCACAGAGAAATAAAGCTTGCTTCTGGCAGCCTGCTTGCAGTCCAGAATCAGTTTAGCCCATTTTCAAGTGACTTGAAATACATTAACAGTGGGCTTTGATTGAAGTCTGCATTGTTTGTCCTTAGTCCTGGGATATAGACCTTCAGATTCCTCGCCAAAAGCATTGAGGAACTGTTGGACTGAAGCTGCTTCTCCTCGTGTCTGAAAAGGCAGAATGGCTCTGGCTACTTGTCCAGCTCCTCGTGCCCCACTAAAGGCACCAGCTGCACCTGGGGAAGCACCTGGGATGCCGAGCCTGCTCCTGTGCATCCAGTCCTCTCAGATCTTCACTGTCTTGTTAGCTGTTTCGATTCACTCATTTTTTTCTATTTTCATCCAACTTTTCTAATTCTAGCAGAATGTTCTGATTACCTAATGTTAATGATCCTTTTGATGCCTCTTTTTCTGGAAGAACTGTTGTTGTAGGGATTTGATGCACTTGTCTGGCATGCTGCCTCAAAGCACAGTCACGTGATTGAGAATATCTGCGATGGTTTTCTTGTTTGCAGCTTATGCTGAACTGGGTAATTCATGCCTGCAGTGTAGAGGTGATGTTTGCCGTGAGAAGTAGTCTGCCTTGTATTGCAGACTCACATGGTCTTCTGCTTGACTTCAAAGTTTTGGAGTGCTGCAGGCTCCTCAGATAGATGAAGTGGTGGCACTCAGGGTTCAAGACAGGTGTGAAAAAACACACAAGACTGTCAGATGAGCTTTGAAGCTGGTGGGCTTTCTTTTGCCTTAGATTAGTAAGCAAGCTAGCAGGAGAGTTTCATCTGACCTTTATGCTGGATTTCTTCCAACAAAAAAAATAGACCATTTTGAAAGCTGTATGATTTTTTTCTCAGAATTATTTAACAAATTAACAAAAATAATGAAATGAGATTTATGGACAGATTAGTTCTAATCATTATGAAGTTAGGATTATGCAAGTTCTGGGAGAAGGAAAGTAAAGGGCTCACAGAATAGTTTTAGCCCCAGGAGGCAACCATTGCTTAATTTAATACTGAACATTGTGTAATCTCTTATCCTATAGCTTTTTTTTTCCTTTTCAAGAAAACTCAAATATTATATTTATGGAATATCTTCCACTCCTACAATAATTCATTTAGCAGTGTTATGGTATCATAAATCAAAAAATACTTGGTACACTGGGAGTAATTAAGCCTAGTGTGACCTTATGACCTGTGGCTAACACCATAGGTTTCAAATTGTCCCCAAGGGCAAATGGGGACCTGCCTGGGAGTAAGTTGAACATCCAGGGTTGGATTTGGGGGGCTGTACACTATAGATATGCCTCTAAGAATGAAATTCATTTTATTTTAAAGGAAATGACTCTACAGTAGATGGTTTAGTAAACTTTGAAAAACTCAGAATGATCGCCAAGGAAATCCGTCAAGTTATGCGAATGGCGTCTGCTAATATGGACCCGGCTGTGATGTTTAGGCAGAGGTAGGCGTTGTCGTGTGTCAAGTGTTACGGAGCGGTGCACTGTCTTCGCTTATTCGTCCTCTGCCGTTTTTTGTGTATTAGGCTAAGTGCTTACATGGTTAACTCTGTTTTTTCTAATCACAGTAACCCTCACAGGTAGGTGGCCATAGGCTCCTTTTACATAAACACTAAATGTTAGAGTAGTTCTTATGTAATTTGCTAAAATTTACTGTGTCTTTATTACTTTGTGAATGTGTAAATAATTCATTGTTTACAGTGTAAACCAAATACTGAAAAGTTGGTTCTACTGAAATTAGTAAAGACAATCATTTTCATCTTGTTTCTAATCTGGTTGATCTATCTTTTTATTTTTGCTGAATATTTGTAGAGTTCTCTTACCAATTCTTACTGTTAGTCTTCTAAAACATAGTTCTTTCAGTTTATAATCCTGCTGTTTCTCTGTACTTCATTAACACCATTTAGAAAGTATAAATTTAATCATGCTCTGTTTTAAAAATGGAAAATATGTTCTGTATTAACCTGGTCTACTAGGAATAATTTTAAATTTTTATTTTTAATATGATTGCAAAGATGTCCTCAAATGTGTATGTAAAATTTACTAGAAGTATGCTTTTAAGCTGTTTAAGTTTTGGGATGTAAATAGACATTGTAATTTTTAACTTTTCTTCTGATTTTCTTTGGGGCCTGTGTGTATACCTTCTAACACATAAGGGTTTTAAAGCTGAAAGATTGGGACGGCAAACACAAGACTTGTCAAGAAAGCAAAAATATCTGGTACTTCAACAGGCAGAGAATTTTACAACTAAGCAGAACTACTGTGTGTCAGGATTGATTTTTTGCTTTTATTTGTCTTGTTTAAGATTGCTGTAGGATTGTTGTTTTTGTAGTAGTTGATCTGCTGGTTGCCGTAATTGAGACCCTCCAAGTGTGGAGCCTGGAATGTGCCAGGCCTCCTCTTCCCTCGCTAGCCTCTTTTGCCTGTTGAGAATCTGTGTGGGAGAGACAGGTGCACTGTGAACAGCCTGGAAGCAGGAACAGGGAGAGCCAGAGACCAAAGCAGAAGCAGATTAGGGCTTGTGTTGGTTTTGTTTCGTGTCTTTGTGCAGTGACCCTCCTGCTCCCTGTTTGTTGTCCTACATGAACCTCCATTTACTCACATTATCGCCTTATCTTAAGACATTACTTTTGTGACCTGTGAGTTAATATTGTAGTTGGGATTCTGAAATAGACGTGGAAGGAAATTAATAAACCAAACTGTCTTCTTAGGAAAGGGTTGAGTAGCTAATGCGTGTGAGAAATAAGCATTTATATTTAGGTTGAGCTGAATCTTTCATGAATTAGTTTTGTCAGTACTAAAATGTAGTATCTTTCTATGAAGAAATGGTGCATTTTATTATGCTATCATTTATCTGTTATGGATAAAAACAACTGATTTTATTTAAACAGTACTTAGTTGACATAAGAATAAAACCTGTGCTCAGTTAAGAGTATGTAGAGTGGGCCCAGCGCTGTGGCCTAGCAGCTTAAGTCCTCGCCTTACACATGCCGGGATCCTATATGGGCACCGGTTCTAATCCCAGCAGCTCCACTTCCCATCCAGCTCCCTGCTTGTGACCTGGGAAAGCGGTCGAGGATTGCCCAAAGCCTTGGGACCCTACACCCATGTGGGAGACCTGAAGAGGCTCCTGGCTTTGGGATCGGCGCAGCACCAGCCATTGTGGTCACTTGGGGAATGAATCATTGGACGGAACATCTTCCTCTCTGTCTCTCCTCCTCTCAATAAAAATAAAATAGATCTTTTTTTAAAAAAAAAGTATGTAGAGCATTAAGATTTTGATGGCATCTTTTTACCTGCATTTTAAATTGCTTGAGAGCACACAGGAGAGAGCCCCATCCACTGATTGGCTCCCCATATGTCTACAGGGTTTAGGGTACTGAAGCCAGGAGCCAGTGAGCCAGTCTGTGCCTCCCATCCTGTGAGTAGCTGGAGCCCAGTGGCTGGAGTCATGTGACTGGCCTCCCAGGGCCAGCCTTAGCAAAAACAGGTGACACCAGAGGCAGGCACTGAGCCCAGTTTTGGCGTGTGCGTGTCTCTGCAGCGTTAGCGTCCTCACTGCTAGGCCATGTGCTCACCGCCTGACTGATACTTGATTTTACTGGTTATCGTTTTCTTTAAAATACACTGCTTGAGGAATTTCAGCATTTAGAAACGAAATTCTTTGTCTCTTTGTTCCATATAGTGTCATCATGTCATTTTAATAAGTGACTTAAAATTTTTTTTTAAAAAAAACTGAAATTTAAGATTTGCAGGAATTGAAAGGAAAGGTGAAAAATGCTCTTATTTTAAGGCTTTGCCCTAAAGTGTCAATTCAGAATTTATACAAACTAAATGATTTTCCTTAAGCTTCTTAATATTTAAATTTAGGCTTGTGGGTAAATTTGTGTAAAAACAAAGTGAATGATCTCAAGCATATTTGAAACAATGTTGTGGAATGTTTGTAACCTTCATTACATATCAGGACTCCTCACCCTTCCCACCTGCGTAAAGACATTCGCCTGTTAATGCTGCAGTTTGTTTCTGAGTAGAATTTCTCTGTTCTGTTCTGTCTGCATAGTTTCTGATTCTCACTTGTTGTCTTTTTTCTGTGCTTTCCTGTTCAAACCCATGCTTCAATGTTTGTGGCTCTTGCTTGCAGGAAGAAGAGGTGGCGGAGTCTGGGGTAAGTGTAGAGATGAACGCAACTGGAATGAAGGTTGTGCGACTCTTAACACATACTGCATCCTTTCATTAATGCACGGCAGAAAACAGCATGCGTTCTATTAACCCTGCAACCTACATTCCCAGCAGATGCCTTTTGCTAACAAGATGAAAGTAGTGATAGAACTAGCTTCCCCCCCACCTTATCCTTCTGTTATTGACAGACTATATATTATAAGTCCTTTTCAGTTTTTAATTCGGCAAGATCAGATGATAGGCAGTAGTACATACTTGCTGTGTGCTTGTTCTGTACCATACTGTTGTAAGCATTCTGAATTATTCATTTAAATGACCTTCCACCTAGTCAGGAGATCATGTCATTCCCATGGTACAGATGGGGAAGGTACAGTGACCCAGAATCCTAAAGCTCTTTAGTGTTAGATCCAATATAAATAGTGCTGAGTCTAGAATCTACACCACTTTCCTTTTTTCAAAGTGAACACGTCCTACAGTTAATCTGCTTATAAAGGTTACATTTGTCAGTAATTAAAAAGAAACAACCTTTATCCAAACAGTGAAATTGAACTAGATGCCATGATGCTGCAAGACTCTGGATTTCACTTTAAATTCTTGGCAGGTTTGATTAAAGATTGCACCTGTCCTTTTAAAACCATTACAGGAACATGAAACTGGCTTCTTCTGTTTGGAAAGATCTGTTTATTTGAGAGAGTTACAGAGTACAGAGTACTGTTGGCTCACGCTCCACATGGCTGCGGTGGCTGGAATTGGGCTCAAACTGAATGGGAGCCTGAATCATCTTCCCGTGTGCAGGCAGTAACCCAAGGACTTGGGCCACCTTCTGCCTTCCCAGCAGACCTGGGACCTGGCTCCAAAACGGAGCAGCCAGGACTGTAACCACTGCCTGTGTGCAGTTTTGGTGCCCTACAGTAGCTTTGCTCACTTCACCTCAGCACTGGCCCCTCACCTCTGGTTTTTAGAGTAGGTTCAGATCTCACCTGCACAGCTTAGACATCTAGTTAAAATCATAGAAGGATAAAGATCTTTGCAGAATGATCCAGTTAGCTCTTTAATTTTTGAATGAAGAGAAAGTTTCTTTCCTAGATGGAGAAATTGCATCGGGATAATTATATTAAGACTCATGAGCTATGGAATTAAATAATTTTATTCCATGTTAAAGGAATTTTTTTGTGAGCCGCTTGCTTTACTTCAGTCTTGTCTTATTTGTGGTGTTGTTTTTTGTTAAAGTTCGATGAAGTTTTTCTGCTTTGTTCCCTGGTTCTGTGTGTCTTTCTCATGCATTGATATTTTTTTCTTTATCATACATTTACGTCTTGGTCTTCTCTTATTTTTCTCGTTGAAGATAGAAGTTGATAGCTGGCATTACAATTGTAGTAAGTTGTAATTTTAAAGAAAACTTGGACAGTATGTCCTAGTGGGTATTTGGAGGATGAGTAAGTTAAACTAACAAATTCACTATTGATTTCGCTTTAGGGTTGCGTTGTGTGATATTTGGTTCTTGTGAACATTAGGCATTTTGGTTTCACATGGTAATATTTTTTAGAAATAATTTAGAAGACAAACTATTTCCATTAGTTAAATTTGGTATCTTAGAGTTGTCAATATTTTGTCTTGTGGTTTTTTCCTACATACCAACTAGAAGCATTAAATTTTTTATTAAAAAATATTGCAACTTCATTGCATTTCTTTGAGTACATAGCATCACTAATTTTGGATGTATTTTAAGGTGCCACCAAGAAAAGGTACAATGGTGTCCAGTTACCGTTGGGAATTTTTGGGTTTTGTTCTTATAGATTTACCTGATCATGTGCTACCCTGTGTATGCATAGTTAGAAAAATCTAGGCCCAATTAAGTGGCTTAGGTCTTTCTGAAACTTTGTGAATCACTTTTTGACTGTTTTGATTCGTTTCTTTTTATTACATGCATGTCTCTTCGTAAGGCAGCATTTCCTAAGACATGCCTTAAAGAGGGAATGCTGGTCTGAGGTTCTCTTTGCGAATCATTGGGGCCAGCCTGGTTTTGATGCTGATTTTGAACTTGTCAGATTCACTATCTCTTAAAACTCATTTTGGTCCCTGAGGGCTATAAGGATAATCCACTAACTAATCAGATTTTCTTCTGAATCATTCTGCCAGCTTTGAGGCTTATGCCTATGAGAGTATTGATGCTCACACTACTGTTTTGGCCTGACTGGTAGCAATTGAAGGTTGCCATTGAGTGTAAGACACACCTCTATTTCCAAGATCTTAAAATACGAAAAAGAAATCTATAAACCTTTTTCAGTTTTTCAATTATATTTCACCTGCTTTACATTAGGCTGTTAGTGTCTGTCTGAACTTGGGATGTGAGCATTGAGCAACAAATTTTATGGGTGAAATCTGTGTATTCAAAATATCATTGTCTAAATATGAGGTTAATTGAGAAAATTCGTGGATGATGCTCTTAGCATTGTGGGCTGGCAGCTGCCTTCATGGTAGAGGTCATTTAAGAGCTTGTGTTAGCGTCCTTGTTAGAAAGGACAGGAGTGTTGTAATTGGAGTTGCTTGTTGATTCCCATGTCTCCTTGTGGGAGGGGATTTACCAAGCACAGAGATGAGTGGCATGGCTTGGCATGGATTCTGATTGCTTCCACCCAGCTTGCAGTTGCATTATGTTTAGAGGCACTGTGAAAGTAAAGTCTCAGAGCTTTGGTGGCAGAATCCAGATACTTCCTAATCATTCAAATGTAAGTGGGTGCTTAAAGTAGCTCTTGATGTTTTTCCCATCCCTGTGTTAATTTAAATGTAAAATATCTTATCGATTGTTATGTGAATTTTGGGTAAAATCTAGTTACTGGTGAAATTGGTTGACGTGGTCAGAGTGAGTCTGCTATCAGCAGGAATGACAACTACAGTAGTGTGTTCAAAGTAGCACAGGCAGGCAAAGCTATTCTAGAAACTTCCTTAACAGAGAACCTGAGTGCAGAGATCTGACAACAAGTAAACTTGTCCTGATGCTGCCTCTTGCCATACCTCCGGAGTAAGGGTGGCCTGCAGGCCTGCGGTGACCTTTCCTTGTCAGAGTTGTGCTGTGAGTTGCATAGGCATAAGCACTGATTTGTTGGAGTATGTCACTAAGGGAGGCATTGGTATATTTTTCTCTCTTGAAGTCTACACTTTGTCATACCTGTTCTTAATCCAGAACATTGCCATGTGTACCAGATTACTTTGCTTTAATGCTCTTCATCTTTTAACTCATTTTTATTGGCATGTAATAGCATTAACAGAACAAAATCTTTGAATGTCCAATTTCATTATTTAATGTTCATCTTTACAGCCTCTGATTGTGCTCTCGATCTTCTTCCAGGTCACTGAGTCAAGGCAGCACAAATTCAAACATGCTGGATATTCAGGGAAGCGGGCACAAGAAACGAGCACGCCGTAGCTCTCTGCTTAATGCCAAAAAGCTATATGAGGATGCCCAGATGGCACGGAAAGTCAAGCAGTATCTTTCTGGTCTGGATGTAGAGACAGATGAGGAGAAGTTCCAGATGATGTCCTTGCAGTGGGAGCCTGCGTATGGTACCTGTGAGTACAGCTTTTCATTTGTGTGATACTAAAGAGCACAGCACAATGGACGTATCTCCAGAATTAGGCTGCAATCCAAGAAAACTGTCCACTTTCTCTGTCAAAAGATTATTGATGTTTCACAAGTATCAATCTGATATTCTGTCCCTTTCTCATATTAATGTTCTGCATGCAGAGGAATAGTTTCTAAAAATTTTTAATTTTTTTTCAACTAATTGGAAGTCAAAAAAGGAGACACAAATAGAGATGGACAGTTTCCGTTCACTGGTTCAAATGGCTACAGTAGCCAGGCTAGGCTGGGCCAAAGCCAGCAGCCTGGAACTTCTTCATGCTGGTGGCAGGAACTCAAGTACTTGAGCTGTCACCTTCTGCCTTCCAGGGTACACGTTAGGCAGAAGCTGAATTAGGAGTGAGTAGTGGGGTGTAAACCAGGTAGTGTGATACAGGGTCTGGGTGTTCCAGGTTGACATCTTAACCAGTGCGTTAAACACCTACTTTGATTGTATTAATCTAATGTTGTGATACAGCGAAGCCATTGCTTGTGGGAATGGTAAAAAGAGCCCGTGACGGAGCTCCTCTAGTAATATGAAACATGCTTATAACCCACTTGAAACACTTGGGCGATGATAAATGAGACAAAGAATTTCATTAACCAGTTTGGGAGAAAAGCAGGCCATGCAGAAGGCCTAGTGGCTGGAGTTATCTGTGACCAGTCTCGGAAGTGTGGAGAATGTAAACAGTGCACCCTTACCACTCCCCTGCTGCAGACCCCAAGATAGGACTTCTCTGTCCTGAAAAATTCACAACTAAACAGGTGCACTGAGAGACCGGGAGCAGGATGAGCTTGCCACACAAGAAACACTTCATTGTTACTATTTAAAAAAATGGTTTTTTTAATTAGAGAGGCAGATACACAGATAGAAGAAGATGCAGAGAGAAAGATCTGTCTGCTGGTTCACTCCGCAAGTGGCTGCAATGGCCAGAGCTAAGCCTATGTGAAGCCACAAGCCAGGAGCTTCTCGTGGATCTCCCACTTGGGTGTGGAGCACCCCAAGGCTTTGGGCCATCCTCTGTTGTTTTCCCAAGCAACAAGCTGGGAACAGGATGGGAAGTAGAGCATCCAGGACAGGAACCAGTGCCCATATGGGATCCCAGTAGATGCAAGGCAAGGAATTAGCCGCTAGGCCGTTGCACCCAGCCCGAGAAACACTTTTCTTAAAGGGTCTCGTACGCAGCTTTCCCAAGATGACTCTTGATGAAGCTCCTCCCAACAGCTTTCCCTCTGCTCTTTCAGTTCGTTCTTTTCAGTAAAACTACTCTGCTAAGAAGTCCCCTCTCTGTTGGCAGCTTCATCTGTCTCATACTTCCTCATAGAGCAGGTTTCTGTGATTCTTACTAGCTGTAACACCTCTCCCCACTCTAACCTTTCAAAGCAGGGGGAATTTTATAGGAGCCAGTGTTGTGGTGCGTGCCATATGAGAAAAGGTTGCTGCACACCACACCAACTCCTTGGTATTGCACTTCGGCAAGCAGGGGAAGATGACCCCAGAGACTCTGAGCCCCCAGTCACATAGGACACTCAGATGCAGTTCCTGACTCCTGGCTTTGGCCTGGTGCAGACTGGCTGTTGCAGCTGTTTGGGGAGTGATGGAGTGAATGGAAAAATGATTTTTTCTTTTGGTCTCTCCTTCTCTCTGTAGCTATGCCTTTCAAGTAAATAAATCTTCCTTTGAAAGTTTTAGAAATTTATTTTCTCATTTCTGTTTAAGAACATTTTTACTTCCTTTTTATTTTACAGATAATTTTTACCAACTAGAAAATTTAAGGAGTTTAAAATAAAAAATAAGATACTGTTGCTGCAAGTTAAAATAGGAAAAATCAGAGACATTGTGTACTAATGTCTAGAAAATACAATGAAAAATTCTGTTCTTAATATTGATTTTTTTAAAATTAATTACAAATAGAGGCCTAGCATGGCATAGTAGATTAAGCCTCCCACTGTGGTGCCAACATCCTGTATGGACACCAGTTCAAGTCTAGCTGTTCCACTTCCCATCCAGCTCTCTGCTAAAGTATCTAGGAAAGCAGCAGCGGATAGTCCACGGGCCCCTGACCCATGTGGGAGTCCACTGAAAGGTTTCTGGCCTCAGACCAGTCCAGCTCTGGCTTTTGTGGTCATTTGGGGAATGATTCAGTGGATGGAAGATTCTATCTCTGCTTTTCTCTCTGTAAATCTGCTTTTGAAATAAAAGTAATTAAGTTTTAAAAAATAAAATCAAGTACAGATAATGGAATGGCTCTGTCTCTGGCTCAGGGGAATCTTGGATATAAAAGCAGAAATCAAAAGCAGTAAAATGAATTGATGTAACCCCAAAAATGATTGTGCTTCTTGTGTTCAATTACAGGCTAATTGTTATGCCCATAAAACTCACATTATGGTTACGTTTCTAAATTGTGAATTACAGAAGGAAATTGACTTTAAAATTTATCAGTGTTATGGTATTTTTATAGTAATAGGAAAAGTATATCAATAGAGTAGAAAAATAGAACTCAAGTCACACACATATATATATGTATGTATGGATTTTACACTGACATGTGACAGTGTTAATATACAAGGTAAGGAGCTCTTACCAAGTAGTGTTACCAAAGCAGATTATCAAGAGTACTGCTCCCCATAAGAAGAGGAATGGAGACTAAGGGGCTCATTACCCTAAGTCTGAATTCTCAAACGTAAAATTTGGCATGGGTTGGGACTAAGTTTATATCTGATTTTCTTTATCAACCTATTAAACTTAGAGAAAGAAACAAAATATTAAAATATAAGTTACTCAGAGTTTTCTAAATATACTGGAATTCCTTCCAAGCATTTCGTAAACCTTGCCGTTGACTCCTCAAACAGCACCCTAGGGGTTCACTATTGAAGTTGTATTCTAATGAGATAGTATACCCCAAAATTTACTGATGTTGAAATCAATGTCAGTCTTAAGGAATAATGCAATACATGCCAAAAATAAAGCATAGAAGAATGTATAGGACCTTTTAAACCTTTCATTTCACTGTTCAGCATCATGTGCATATTAAAGCCCTCTGACCTTTTAAAATGTCACCTGTTATTTCTCCCTGGGTTCTCTGTATATACTTTATCATGTTGTAGTTATGGACACTATGTTTCTGCTTTCATCTGATTTAGGATTATTTATGTAACACACACAAATGCATTTAGTGTAGCTTCTTCTGCATGCATCTACCCTACCTGTCTTCTCTCATAACACTAAATAGTTTCCTTTGCTGCATATTTAATATTGATTTGAAATGAAGAAAACTCAGCGGTTTTCTTTTGAAAATCGAATTTGAGATTTTAGCTCGGTATCTTTAATTTCATTGCAAAGTCTTATTTTTGCTTCTACTGTATAATCCTCACATATTTCAAATAGTATCTACCAAAGGCCAAACAATGGTTGAATCATAAGCATTATAGCATTTGGTTCTATTACTTAATAGGTATATTTGTGTTTTCCTTTCATTGTAGAGGTAGAGAATTGAATAATACTGAGGAAAAGAGAAAATGTGTCTCTTGACTCTGTTCTTTTTGGTTTTTGACTCTCAACTTCTGACATCTTGGATTCTGATAGTTAATGAACCAGTACATGTTAATTCAGGAGTCTCTGGGGTTTGACTGAATGTCCTTTGATTCTTACCACCCAAAATATTCTCATCACGAAAACATAATAGCTATGAGAGCAGTGCTGAACAGGCCTGATCTACTTTTGCTTTTATCTTTTTGAGTTTATAAGACTTAAAATTATTTATTAGTTGCAGTTAGAGAGAAAGACCAAGAGATCTTCCATCTGGTGATTTACTCCCTGGATGGTTGCCATGGCCAAGTTTGGGCCAAGCTGATGCCAGGGACCCAGAGCTTCAGCCTGGTCATCCATGTGCTTGGTGGCTTCTCTCATACTTGGAAGATCTTCCACTGCTTTCCCAAGCACATCACCAGTGAGCTGGATCAGAAGTAGGAAAGCTGGGACTCCAGTGCTTTGATACTGGGTGGCAGTGCAGTTAGCAGCTTTGTAACCCATTCCACCATAACACAGCCTCCATAGTACTGATTTCAAAGAGATTTCTGCTTGAATTAAGTCAAGATTCTGTAATCTAGACACTGCACATTGTGGGATGTTAGAAAAGGGCTCCCAGAAGTTTGTGACAAAGTTCACTTCTGGATGCAGCCAGTGAAATGGAGCCTTGCAGTGTCCCACCTTGAATCAAGGCTAGACAGTTTGGAGAATGTTCCTTAGCTGCAGGCTATTGCTGCATCATGCAGGGCCTTTCTCCTCAAAGCATTGCCCGTCACATGTCACTTAATGCAGCACATGAGGGGATGGATTGATCTCATTTTCATTTTCGAACAGGCACTGCGGTGATCCAGAGCAGATGGAAGGTTTGCATGCAGGGAGGGCAGCATTTCAGCAGTATACATGAAAGGTTGTTAACTTGACCTTTCTCACTGAGCTGGTGGGATGGAGCTAATAAGGTTAATGGATTCAAGAATTATCTAAAAAATAACAGCCCATCCTTCACCGATTTTAGAATAAATTCTTAAGAAAATTAGTTTGGTTGGTGCTATGTCTTGGTAGATTTAGCAGCCATCTGTAGCACCAGCATCCCATGTAGGCACTGATTCAAGTCCTGGCTGTTCCACCTCCGTCCTGCTCTCCACACCAATATGGAAGTCCCTGTGGAAGCTCCTGGCTTAGGCCTGGCCCAGCTCTGACATTGGTGAGCATCTGGGGAGTAAATGGGAAGATGGAGATCTCTGACTTTCAAATAAATATAGAGCTTTAAAAAATAAGTCTGTTTTACTTGTTGCTAAAAGCAGATGAAACAAGCATTTATGAATATAAATGATAATAGCCTTAATTAAAATTATGTTATTACTATTTTTCTTATTCTGTCCTATTTAGTGACCAAGAATTTAAGCGAGAAAAGATCTGCCAAATCATCTGAAATGTCTCCAGTGCCTATGAGGTCAGCTGGCCAGCCAGCTAAAGTGCACTTGCATCAGCCCCACAGAGTCAGCCAGGTGCTTCAGGTGCCAGCTGTTAACCTGCATCCCATCAGGAAGAAGGTACAAGTGAAAGACTCCATGTTGAGTGAGTATTCACAGTTAATACTATGTACATTTGAGATTTCCAGGAAAATTAGAACAAGCAAAGCAGTGCTCAGGGCCGGATCGGGTGAGATGGGTTATGTGATATAACCATCACCTCACAGATCAAAAACATTTCATTTTCTTCCTGCCTTTGAGTACCACATGCAAGCTCTATTAAATGCTGGTACTTGTTACTCTTATAATTATGAAATCCATTTGCCAACAGAAAACAAAGCAATAGGTCTTACAAACCTAAGGGCTGTTGCACTCAGTGAGTTTAATTGAATAGTTGGATTCAACCTGCAGACGTTATGACAGTGAGATTATTGTAACAGTGGCTATATGTGTTTGCTGATTAATGACTCCTTAAAACTCAGGAAGTGAGTGTAAGACTTAATGAATGATTTTCCCATTTTTCTCCCCAAGAACTCTATAAGCTTATACTCATTTTTACTATTTTCACCATATCCTCACAGTAGCTTTTAGATGGGAACTGAGATTACATTGGTTCCTAATATTATTCCTTAGTTCATATGCAGTAGAGTTTTATGAAAATGACAATGTTTTAGAAGTACAAAGCTAAATAAGAAATATTGCTTGCTCTGCCAGATTTTCTATCTGGTGAGACAGACACGTAGCAGATAACTTGGGTACAGCATGCGTGCTGTTACATCAGAGGTACATATAAAACCTTTACGGGAGTTTGGGTTTTGACCAAATGTTCTTGATTCTTGAAAATCAAGGGTTAAAAAGGTGAACCTTTAGAAGAATGCAGTCTAAAATGTGAGTGCAGAGGGACTGGCAGTGGCTCAGCTGGTTCTAATCTTCCTGCCAGCACCAGCATCCCACTGGTTTGTGTCCCAGCTACTCCACTTCCCCTCCAGGATATGACCTGGAAAAACAGTGGATGGTAGCCCAAAGCCTTGAGACCCTGCACCCACATTGCATACCCGGAGGAAACTCCTGGCTCCCGGTCAGATCAGCTGGGCTCCGACTGCTGTGACCATTTTGAAAGATCTTTCTGTTTTTCCTTCTCTCAATAAATCTGCCTTTCCAATAAAAATAAATCATTAAAAAAAGAAAAAGCCAGTGACTAGGTGAAGTCGCCCGAGAGGTTTTCAGGCAGAGGGAGCAAGTTGGTGTCTGCAAGCTGGTGCAGGCACTTTGCCAACTCGTTCACAATCTTGAGTAGCAACCGGAAGGACAGCTAAGAATTAGAGGCTGCTTAGTGCCAGACACCCACTTGCGTGCCTCCCACACTTCCTGTGTTCTTTTAGACTTTCTGATGACCCTACAGCGTAGGAAGCATTTTCCCTCTTCAGTATGCACTAACGAAAACAAAAAAAAAGGAGCTGCAGTTAAGGCGCCCTGACATCCCCCCCCCCCCCACCACCACCACCAAGCTCTGAATTCCTTGCTTTTACTTCTCTACCAAACAGCTCTCCAGGGTGAGAAGGAGTAAAGCTATAGGAAGGCCAAAGTTAGAACATGCTTTTCTGAAGGAAACTTGTTAGTTTGACATTTGGAAATTAAGATTCAATTTATGTTTGAGAAGGACTAGAATAAGAATTAAAGCAAAAATTCCTTGGGAAATTGCTTGGTACCTGAGATCCCTCAGTGGCTGTGGAAATGAGGACTGTGTACAGAATTGGCATACTAAGTAAGTTTCCTGATGACAGTTTAGCTCTGGTGTCTCGGCCATCTCCACCTACAACCAGGGCTCCTTGTACCAGCAAGCTTTCTTCTTCTTATAGTTAAGTTTGGCTTCTATAGATAAATGTATAATGTTTACATTAAAACTATTCATTGAAGAATGTTGTGGGTGTATAGTAACTTAGATTTTTCATTGTTTAGAGGCTCCTTCTCATCGAAGCTGTGCTTTCCTGTTTAAGAACAGGATATTTCTTAGAGAAGGCACATATAAAATTGTCAGTACATTGAACAAAACTGTTGGTACATTTCATTTACACTAGACAAGACTGGCCTTTGTCGGGGTATTGAGCAGATGTTTCCATTGGGCTCCATGCTATTTTCTGAAAAGTCATGCTTCTTCCTCTTGACTGCTTGTCTTCTGCAGTGTGAGTTTAGTGTTGTTGAGAAGGGCTGGATGGGCAGCCCCGCATCCTCTTGCCTATACCCACAGCATGGATGCAGCACAGGTGGGGACAGTGCCAGCATCCCCACATTGCCCTGCCATGTGCCTTCTGGCTGAGAGGGAACAGCTTGGATCTGTGCCACTCGTCTCTGTTGACATTTCAAGCAGGTGTGTTGATTGGGGGTGCAGTACATGTGCAGGCAGGCTGTTAAGTTTATCTCTCTTATGCCACAAAACACAAGTGATTTCACTGTTAGGATCTGGTCTGTGCTGCCCTGCTGAATCTGAAGGAATAGCTTAGAGGTGAGCATCTCTGGATTCCATTGCAACGACATTCAGTCCGTTTGGACGTTCACACGTTTCAGCGTTCGCCGTTGTGCATTATGGCTTCAGTTATGTAACGATTGAGACAATGACAGACATTTTTAATTGTGAAGTGGTGCTTATCTCTTCCCTGCTTTTCTTTTAGGTACAAGTTTACCTCAGAAAGTTCTAGGAGTAGCTGATGAAGCAGGTAGTAGGAAACACCCAGAAGACGCGCTGTCCGTGGCCTCATCCTTGCACTCCAGTCCCCCTGCCTCTCCCCAAGGCTCGCCCCGCAAAGGTAAGATGGAGCGACTGCAACCCAGCAGCTCTGCGCAGTGTGCACTTTGTACTTTTCAGCCTATAGCAAATGGTAAAAAATAGACCCTCATGTTTTTACTAAGGTAGTCTGGTGCTTTGTAGGGGGTATGTATCGGATAACTAACACTCTGGTCCAAAGTACAATCCTTAACTGCTTTTACAGAGGACAAGTGTAGGTAAGAATGAAGGCAGAAATCACCAACATATTGATCTGTGCAGAGTTTTTAGAAGATGTTTTGATTGATTCCATCCAACAACTCATTACCCAAGTGGCCTCTGTAGCTAAAGCTGGGCCAAACCAAAGCCAGGAACCCAGAACTCAATTCTGGGCTCCCACTTGGGTGGAACCCATGTGCTAGAGCTATATTCCGCTGCTTTCCAGGTGCGCTGGCAGAGACCTGGATTGGAAGCAGAGCAGCTGCAACTCAAACCAGCCTTTTGGTTTTTTTAGCGTGTATTTATTGACTGTCTTGAAAGGTAGAATTTCAGAGAATACCTTTGATCTGCTGGCTTACCCCCTGTAGGTGACTAGGCCCAAGTGCTCAGATGGACATCTGCTGTTTTCCTAGACACATGAGCAGGGAGTTAGAAAGGAAGTGGAACAGCCAGGACTCAAGCTGGTACTCACATGGGATGCTGGGATTGCAGCAGCAGCTTAACACACCACACCACACCACCACTTCTGGTCTGTGAACATTCTAAGGATTATGATTCACAAATCCTGAAGTTTTTGTGTGGTTGTTTTTTTATGAAATACATGTAAGTAACAGTTTCTGTAATAATTTGTAACCAACTGTAAGATATGGCAAAAGAGCATATTTTGATGTTTTCCTTAAGTAGCGGAATACTGTCTTTAGTTACTCAAGGTTTAAAACACCATATATTCTTATGGATTTCTACATTTATGCTTAGCCAGAACTTTAAAGGTGGTGAGCATGAAATCCTTCTTGTGCGTTTTCATGTGTTTTTGTAATTCAGACTGAAACTTTGCTTTACTTGATGAGCTTGGGCAGTGTACATGCAGATGGCGTCTCCTGTCAGCAGCATATGTGGCATGCTAATGAGTGTGTCATTGCCTGGAGTGGTACCTGGGCAGAGGGAAGACAGCATGAGCTCTGGCAGAAGGCACAGCCTCCAGAGCTTGTCTCGGCCCTCAGGGTCTAAATTCTATCCCTCCCTGGGACTTGAGCTCACTTCTGCCACTGGTATTGCTCTGATGTCAAAACTGAATCTATCCCCTGTTAATTCTTTGTTAGTTTGAATACTTTGTTTTTAAGATCGGATTGCCTGTTATTTGAGGGGCTCCACATAAGATATAAATGAGTCATCTAAATGAAGACTGATGCTTCAGTAAGTGTTTCATACTTGGGAAGGTTTGTTTGCTTTGCTGCTGCCACCCTGAGGCCACCTGCCTCCGCTGCTCATCTGCCTTGCCAGTTGCTTGAGACACTGTAATGTTCATTCAGACTTAGTAAGGACATACAAACTGTACAAAACACGTGTCTGGTTCTCTTGTGATTCATGCCCTTGGCTGCAGTAGTACAGTTTTGTAGGACACCCAGAGCTGTTTCGTCTCATTGCCTGTTCATGGGATCCTAAGAGGAAAGACCAGCAGCCATGCTTCTGCTGAGACATGAGGCAAGTCGTCAGCAGGGCCGTGTATCCATGAGCTCAGGAAAGTATTTATGGCCCGTCCTTTTCTCAGAAGCTCTTCAGAGCATCATCCCAGTACCAACACTTGTCTAACAAGAACACTGACTGGGTCTGATTGAATGTGCTAAAATCTGAGTGTGGCTTGTGGGAGCACATACCAAGGAAGGGAAGGTGCCCCTCATAGCCTCCTAGCAACGGAGCATCAACTCGGCCCAGGAACAGGGACGTCTTGTCTTTTGTGCTCTCAGTGTGTGGCCAACACTGATCATGTTTATAGATTTCACAGCCTGTCACTGTAACGTCTAGCATCTGGAGAAACCGAAAGAAGTTCTGCTGAAAGCTGCTTCAGATTTTTCCCACATATGTGCTGTGAAAGCCCCATATGAATATGATTCTTCTGTTTGCATAGACAGGTTTTTACTCATAATCTGTGCTTGACCAAAGTGTCACCACAGTAAGAGTACATAATTAGGATCTGTTCCTAGATTTTATCTTTATGTTTTGAAAGAATTTTTTATCTTTTTATTTTTACATAGTTGGTTAGGGTGCAAAGGGGTCAAGGGCTAGAGAAAAGAGGGTAGATCATTTTTCACACATTCTCTTTCTTCCTTCGTAAACAGGATTGAAAAAAAAAGATTTACTTCTTTTTATTTGAAAGGGTTACGGAGAAGGAGAGAGATCTTCCATCCACTGATTGACTCCCCAAATGGCCATGTTGACCAGAGCTGAGCTGTTCTTAAGGTGGGAGCCAGGAGCTTCTTCTTGGTCTCTCATTGGGGTGTGGGAATCCAAGGCCTTTAGCCATCCTCTGCTGTTCACCAGGTCATTAGCAGGGATCTAGATGAGAAGATCTGATCTAGCTGAGACTAGAACTGGTACCCATGTGTGATTAACCTGTGCCAGTGTGCCAGTCCCTAGGTGAGAATTTTTAAAAAGTAAAGCAATTTTAGTCATTTTTTCCAGGGGTTTAAGAAAGGCTTCCTCTCCACCTTATAATTAGATTGGAAATTTTGCTTTATAAATACTGACATTATGTATACTGTTTGTATGTCCTTCTTGATTTTAACTAAGCTTTTACTCAGTAAAATCTTGAAAATTCTAGGAAATTTTGAAAAGGTATTCTGATACTCTTGTCATATTTTTTTCTTATGATTTCGCCAACATGGCTTGTTTTCTAACAGTTTTTAATGCCTGTTATGAACAAGGTGATCTTTCTCCTGTTTTCTTACAATGACTGCTAAGTGTATGATGTAGAACATTTCATATGCATTGAAAAGATGTTCCTATTGGTGTTTTGGATATTGTCAAGATGTTGCACTGTTTTAATAGTTAAATGTTACGTATATAACAGAGGCTGATTGTGGCGACCTGGCGAGAGTTACTTGACCCTGACAGGGTTTTTGCATCTTTCCCTCCAGTTGGCAGTATCCTATGTGAGCACAGCCTCCTGCTGCACCCCTCAGGGTCTTCCTCAGCCCCTCCCCAGGAGTCCAGCACCAACATCCGTGGCCCGAGCTGCCCCGGAATAGGTGGGGTTTACTTGCAAAAGAAAATCCTTCAGATTACCAGGAGCACAGCCAAAAGAACAGACAGTTCCAAGAAGGCCACTGAGGAGAATAGAGGCAGGACAAGTTTTGAGAACACAACCAGAAAAAGAATGACGTCCCCGTTTAGAAGATTTAGGGAAAGAACTCTTTCAAGGGAGAGACTAGTCGCCAGCAAAAAAGAGGACGCAGATCACAATCAAGCTACAGAGAGCTGGGAGAAAGTGGAGGATGTTGGGCGCAACAGCACAGATGAGAAAGGGAGAGACCTCATCAAGTCAAATAGCCAAGGCAACAGTAATGCGTTAAACTGCTTCCATATGCGATTCAAGTCTAAAAGGAGAAAGACACTTTGACGGAAGTTCCTTCAGTTTATTCATGTGAATGTGGCTTAAATTAAGCCATTTGTCAAACCAAGGTTGAGTAGACCACTCAGTAAAATGCTCTTACAGAAATAATAAATACTATTTTTATAAGCATTTAATATTTACAGATTCTCTAGCACAGAGTCATATTGATTTGAAGTGCCTTATTTGTACATTTTATTTCTCTAATGTATCGAGTTAGTAAACTGCATATTCTGGTTTGCTGTAGTTGCCTTTATTTCCTATGACGAGCAACTGGGTCTGTAGTGAAATGACTGGAGGGACTTTTTAGGAAATGGTATTCTCTGGGAAGTCTCCTCCAATAACCTGGTCACAGTTTGCCTTAGAGAATTGTATTGCCATATTAATGCTTCAAGTATTTTGTAAGTTAAAGGCAAAAGAAATGTTGGAACAAGAAATTGCTTCTTGCTCACAAATGCTTTTGATTTTATACATTTTTCAGATCCATCTGGTTGGGGTAGGAGGAGCTAATCTTAGTTTAACAGGTTCAAAATCACCAGATAACTTACTTCTAAAATACAGTTTCTGTGCCCCCCCCACCCCGGCCTCAAAGATTTGAATTTGCAGGAATGGACCCAGCAGTGTGTGTTTTAATAAGCTTTCTGAATGGTTCTTAGAGTTAATTATATTTGAGTTCTGAAAATGAAAGGTGGGGAGAGGAAGAGGTCTGTCTATTTGTAAATGTCAACAGCGAGGGCTGGACCAGGACAGGCCGAGGGGTCAGACACCCAGATACTGGATCTAAGGCTGGCTGCTGCCTAGGGGATCCATTAGCTGGAAGTTGGAAGTGGAGCCACTGTGGAATGCTAACAGTAAAGCAAGTCTGTTCCATAAAATAAAAGAAAAACAATTTTTCAGTAGAGGTTTTTCATCTTGTGGATTTTAAAAGAATTTTATTGCATCCGTTTTCTTGTAATTATTCTTAAAAATAAACACTGACAAGTGGCAGTGAACCTGGGTTCAGACATGCGTGGTGGATGTCAGAAGACACTGAGTTGTCCTGAATTGCCCTTCTCCAGGTCCCACAAACCAAGTCCAAATTACACAATTTCTGGGTCTTAATTCTCTCTGACGTAGTTAACGAAAACCTAATAAGGTTATTGTGTAACAGTATTTTTTTTCTGTAAAGCCTTGTGAGCAAACTCCAAGATCCTTTTCTCCAAAAAGAGAAAGACATTGGAGTGTAGATCGTTGTCTTGTCCCAAGAATGTAAGTAACAGAATCCACACCTAGTTCTCACCTTTGGATCCTTCACCTCTCTGTCTCTGCCCCCACATTCCAAAAAAAAAAAAAAATGCAGAGGAAGCCCTCTAGCCATCTGCTGTGCAGAAAGAAAAAAATAAACATGTAGATCATAACACATTCTTATAAATTTATCAGTTCAGCTGTTTAATATGTGAGTTGATACTGAAACTAGGTATAAAATTAAATCCAAATCTAAAATAATTACCAGAGGTTCTCAATATGAGGCAGGCCTTCTTAGGTGACATGGCAGAGTTTATTGGGTAAGTATATGAATTTGGAAAAAAAAAAATAACCGGTCTTTCTCTTGGATCCTGACTTCCGTTCTCATCCCTAGGACAGAGTGGAATTTACTTATTTGTTTACTTATTTGAAAGGGAAAGTGGCACAGAGAATGAGAGAGAGATGTCTTCCATGCACTCATCAACTCCCCAAATGGGCAGAAACGGCCAGGGCAAAGACAGGAACCAAACACTCCATCCAGTTCTTGCATTTGGGTTGCAGGGACCAAAATACTTGGGCCATCATTAGCTCTGCCTTCCTTCCAAGACATGACAGCAGAACATTGGCTGCAAAGCAGTGGAACCAGGAGACCAGACAGCTCTCCAGTGCAGGCTGCCAGCATCATAGGCAGCAGGGGAACGTGCTGCACCACAGGACTGGCTCCGTAGGCTAATTGTCTAAGTGATACTGTGTATCTGTTTTCTTTCTTTTTTTTAATGCAAAGTTGGTTTGGTGAAGTATGGATAGGTAAGTTAATGTCTGTAAGGAACTGTGTGGAGAAAACGGGCTACCTGGATGGAAACTGAAATTACTGTTATTTGATTTTTGCTCTTTTGCTCTGCTCTCCCTGGCTATCCCTATCACCAGTTTCGTATTTTGTGGTTTGATCATTGCTGTTTTCTTGTTCAGGTTACACACTCACTCCATCAGCTAAATCTGACAACTTATCTGACTCCAGCCATAGTGAGATTTCTTCACGGTCCAGCATCGTGAGCAATTGTTCTGTGGACTCCATGTCTGCAGCTCTGCAGGATGAACGGTGTTCTGCCCAGGCCCTGGCACTTCCTGAATCTACCAGAGCATTGGAAAAAGCAGAGCAGCCCTCAGGAACGGGAGACCATGGGCAGCTTGGTCCTGGGTAACAAACTCCTTGTCTGTATTATCCCAAAAACACAAGTCAAGTGTTCATTGCAAACAATGCTCTTCAGTTGGAACTTGAATCCCTCCTTTTCTGTGTGAGATGTACTCAGTTTGCATTAAAAAGCGTAGAAGGAGGACCAAGAATGTATTTTAGTATTGAATATAAGCATAAGTGTTATTTTGAAAGCTGAATGGGTAATTATGTTTAAAGTGCTACTGAATTCAGTTACGCTCCTGTCAATAACTTGAAACTGCACTTGACACCGATGAAGGAAGAGGTGGTTCATGTCATTCTGGCTTTAAGTTTAGAGAGAGCTCAAAAAAAGATACAGTGAAGAGGAAGTGAAATATGAGGTGAATATGCCTAGTTGTGTATTGTCAACAGATTGGGTGAGTAGGTCCAGTTTTTTATTTTTAGTTTCTGTAAGTGTAATTTGAGGAATGAAAATAATCAGCAAGGTCCGGTTTGTTTTTTATTTGTTTACTATTCGGCACAAAGAGCATCTATTTGTTCATGCCCCAAATGACCGCAACTGCCAGGACCAACCTGAGCCAAAGACAGGGCCTGAAACTTCGCGTGGGTCTCCCAGAGGGCCAGGGAATCCGTCACTCAAGCCATGAGGCCATCTCCTAGCACCTGTGGTAGGAGGTGCTTAACCTGGACATCTAATCTAGGCTTAGTGTGGAACATTGGCTTCCCAACTGGCTTCTTATCCACCAATAAATGCCCATCATAATTTAAAACATTTAAGATTTACATTTTTTATTTGAAAGGCAGATATTCAGTGAGAAAGATCTTCTGTTCACTGGTTCACTCCCCAAGTGGCCGCAGTGGCTGGAGCTGAGCCAATCCGAAGCCAGGAGCCAGGAACCTCTTCCAGGTCTCCATTGCTGGTGCAGGGGGCCATGGTCATGGCCTTGGGCCATGCTCTACTGCTTTCTCAAGCCACAAGCAAGGAGCTGGATGGGAAGTAGAGCAGCCAGGGCAGGAACCAGTGCCCATATGGGATCCCAACAGATGCAAGACAAGGATTTAGCTACTAGGCTATTGCTGCAGGCCCTAAAACATTTTTAATTGTCAGTTCCTGTTTAAGCAAAATGGGAGTCTTTAAGAAAGCATAAATGGCTTATGTTACACTGATAATTACTCTAAAGTGACCTTTAATATGGAAAACTTATGTATTACCATATTTGTAAAGATTTTATAAACAATATTTCTATAGACCAGAGGTCAGAAAACTTTATTTAAAAGTTACTATTTTAGATTTTTGAGACCGTAAGATCTTTGTTGTACCTACCCTGCCTTTGTTGCACCAAAACAACAATAAACAATATATAGAGGAGTGGGCATGGTTGTGTCACTGAGGATTCATTTATAAGTCATCATTATAAGGCAGTTGACTAGAGTTGACCCTGGAGCCCTTGCTTGGGGACGGCTCCTATAAACGGTGGAATAATTTGGTGAGTCGCTGAGGATGTTACTACTGCTTGGCACTCCGCAAGACTAACATAAAATAAAATATGATTCCTCAAGTTGGAAACTTAATGCTGTATTCATGGAACACAGTTATTACCAGATGTTATGTTGACTGAGAGTGAAGTGATACCTAATTGCATTGATTTTACACCCGTTTAGGGGGCCACTCCCGAAGCCATCTCTAATCAAGGCTCTGACTGTCTCCGCTTCCGTGAGCAGCGAAGAGATTTCTCACGAGCATATCATCATAGAAGCAGCTGACAGCGGTCGAGGCAGTTGGACTTCCTGTTCCTCCAGCTCACATGACAACTTCCAAAGCCTTCCCAACCCCAAAAGCTGGGATTTTTTGAACTCTTACCGCCATACCCATCTGGATGACCCTATTGCTGAAGTTGAATCTACTGAGTGCGAGTCATTTTCCTGTCCTAAAGGTTGCTCTAGAACTTGTGATCCTTGTAAAGGAAGCCTTGAGAGTAATCATTCGAGACAGAGCTGGGCCTCCTCCAGCTCTCTGTCTGACACATTTGAGCCCAACTACGGGACAGTTAAACGGAGAGTGATAGAAAGTGCCCCCACTGAGTCGTGTGAAGGCACGGACCCCAAGGATGCCACAGACCCACTGTATAAGACTGTCACTTCCAGTACAGAAAAGGGCTTAATCGGTAAGTGGTGTTTTTGTTTGATTTTTTTATTTTAATCTTTGGCATTTGGAAATTAATGTAAAGAAATGGCTTTGTAAAATCTTTGACTAGAATTTTATTCTTGCAAAGCTTCATTGTCTCTAACCTTTGTTTTCTGTGTCTGCAGATTTGTTCCCTACAAATCAGGTTAAAAGATCTGGTATTTTATTAAGGGAGTAAGTCTGTTTGTAATGTTTACATTGTTTTCTTTTCAAAATCTTTCCATTGAAGAGTGTCACATGGCCACGCAGTAGCAAGAAAGGGGTTGCTCTGTCACCTCGTGAAGTGTTCGGACTGCAGTGGCTGCGTCTTCATGCTAGGAGCAGTGTGTCCTCTTGCTTGTCCTCAGAAAAGGTGCTCTCACTGATTGGCCTGCGTCCGTCATGAGAGTTTTTATATTTAACTGTCACGTACTATGTGCTTCTTTCCTGCACTTGGATATAGTAGCCCCTGATTGTCTGTTTACGTGGAATAGCTATACTTTTTTGCATGTGAGATTTTTAAGGGCTGCCATGGTGGCATAGTGGCTTAAACTGTTGCCTGTGATACAGATCAAGTCCCACCTACTCTGCTTCCCCTCCAGCTTCCTTCTAATGGCCTGGAAAATCAGGGGAAGATGACCCGCGTTGCTTGGGCCCTGCTACACATATGGAAGACCTGAATGAAGTTTTTGCAGCTCAGCTCAATCCTGTTCAGTGAAGCCATTTGAGGAGTTAACAAGCAGATCAAAGATCTCTCTCTCTTCCTCTCTCTATATATATAAATAAAGTAATAAACTTTAAAAAATTTATTTATTTGAAAGGCAGAGCAATGAAGAGATACTCATCTACCGGTTCACTCCCCAAATGGCTTAGTCTGAACTAAGTCAGAGCCAGGGACCATGACCTCCATCCTTATCTCCCACACGGGTGGCAGGAGTCCAGTGGGTCCATTTGTTGCTAACTTCCTAGGAACAATAGCAAAGAGCTGGATAGAAGCAAAACACCCAGGTCTCAAACACTTCCCTCATACAGGATGGGATTCTATAAGAGGTCGCTTAACCCACTATGCCAGCAAGACCGGCCCCTACTTTGAATTGGTACTATTACGTCCACTTTTAATTCCAAAGAATATTTGTGATGATGACATCTAATTATTAAAAATTTTAATTACGGAAGCATACTGATCTCATAGTTGCTTATAACACGGATATTTTGTTAATAGTAGAGGTTTATTGATGGGTTGACTGACTGACTTGCAAGTCAGCATTAGCAAGAGAAGAAGAGACAGAGATCTGCTGGTGGTTCATTCTCCCGGTGACCCACGTGGCCAGAGCCAGGGGCCCAGTCCCTGTTTCCCATGTTGGTAACAGGAATCTGTTTGGACCCTCTTCAGCTGGATCTGAAATGGAACAACTAGGACACAAGGCATCACCCTTATGGGAGGCCAGCGTGCAGGGGCAGCTCTGTCTGCTGTGCCACAATGCCAGCTGTTACTGTTGTCTTCATTATTAAAGCCTAGTGTTGGAGAAGCATTACAAAAGATGTAATAGTCTTTCACTTCCAGGAACTTCTGGGGGAATCCCTGTTAATTCAGTCTTCAGTCTTATTTTCTTCTTTTGACCAACTTTTCCACCATCCCAGTCCACCAATCCTCAAATGCAATTGCAAATCCTTCCTGACCTTGACTATGTGCAGTTTTTTGCTGGTAGAATTGTAGAAAGTTGAGTTGATAAAATTTCAAGGTAATATTACAATTATTTAATATTCCTTTTTAGCTTTTTAATTAAAATTATTGTACTTGTACAGTAATGAAATCTGTTGATTTACTTCCCAGATGCCCACAGTAGCCAGAGCTGGAGTAGAGGCTAAAGTTAAGAGCTAGGGAGTCATTCCAGGTTTCCCACCCGGGTAGCAGTAACCCAGTAGTCCAGTATGGAATGCAATCAAGTCATCTCACCCACCGTCATACTACCAGACTAAATGCCCACCCTTAATGATATTTTCTATTTATTTCCTAAAGTATCCTTTCTGCTTTTGTTTCAAAGGCAGAGTGGTGTAGAGGGCGGGAGCCGGAGCAAAAGCAAGTGCACACACATAGTTCTACCCACTGGGTCACTTCCCAGATGACTGCCATGGCCAGACCAAAGCCAGGAGCCAGGAGCTCCATGCTGGTGGGTGCAGGGGCCCAAGTGCGGAACTGTCTTCCACTGCTTTCCCCGGTCATTGACAGGGAGCTTGTCTGGGGAGTCTAGGGCTACAGCCTTGATTGAGCTTCCTGCCATACAACACCAGGCCCTCTTGGTCATATTCCTGTAATTAAGACTTGTGTTGAAAAAGTCAATTGCATGATTAACATTTTCAGAGTCATGTCTTCTGCTTTTATTTTTATTAAGATACACTTATTTATTTATTTGAAAAAGTTCCAAAGAGAGGCAGAGAGAAGAGAGAGAGCTCTCACATCCATTGATTGGTCCACTCCCCAGATGGCCACAACGTCCAGGGATGGGGCAGGCCAGAGCATGGACTTCTTCTGGGTCTCCCATATGGGTCCACCATGTGAATCTCAGGGTGCTAGGCATCTGGCCCATTGTCTGCTACTTGTCACGCACATGTTATCAGGAAGCTGAGTCAGAAGTAGAGCAGCCAGGACTCAAACCAGTGCCCGTACGGGATGCCAGTATTGCAGGCAGTGGCCCTTACTGCAGCTGCACTCTGCCGTCCTGCTTCCTGTGGGTTTTGAATTTTGTGCAACTTTCAGGTTATTTCTAATTTGCCTTTAGTGAAAGGATTTAAAGTTAAAATCCAGCCTCCCCCTACACTTTTTTCATCTGAAAGGCAGAAACAGGTGCTCAAAGAGATCTGTGACTACCTGCTATGCTCCTTATGCATTGCAGTCAGACCAGAGCCCAGACCTTAGTGCAAGTCTCGTGTGTGAAGGGCTGGGGTCCAGAACTGTAGCCGTGGCCTGTTCCTCCCCATAGGTAGAGGCCGGAACAGAAACGGGATCAACCCAGGCACCCCAATGCGGGCATTCCAGGCCCCAGCTTAACTACTGTTTTCTAATAAAAGTAAGGGCTTTTCCTTCTTCTCCACTTAATCACAAATCATTTATTGGAAAGAAGGTACCTGAAGGAATTGAATCAGTATTGAATACATGCTTAGAAGGAGCCTGTGTTGTGCTGTGTTTTGTAGAGATTATTTCAAGGGCATAATGCCAGAGGTCTTCCCTTTAGCTGGCTTATTCTCCCAGGTGGCCGCACTTGCTGGGACTGGGACAGGTCAAAGCCAGGAGCCTAGAACTACATGGGGAGTATCTGCTGCTGCTTTCCCAGGCTACTTGGCAGAAAGCTGGATCAGGACTGGAGCAGCGAGCACTTGAACCAGCGCTCCCAGGTGGGCTGCCTGCTGCGGCACAGCATCGGCCCCTAGGGTGAACTTTGATGTGTTTATGACTTAGCCTCGTTTAGGGCTGGTGTTCAAGAGCTTCTCATAGGTTTGTTGAGAATGAAGAGGGAACCCTGTCAGCAGTGTTACCTCAAACTCCTTTTCTACTTAATGTTTATAAAACAGAACGTAGTTGTTTTTGGATTTTTACAGCCAGCTTAAGTATTAAGTTTTTTGAACTTTAGAAATGTTTTGTATATATATCATTGGATTCAGATTTATTTTCTTTAAGTTTTAGTTTTGCCATTTTAATAATTTCATGAGTTTTGTTTGTTCTGTTTTGCATTAACATTTCCATTGTTTATTTTTCATACCAGTGTACTGTGTCACTTCACCCAGGAAGGACAGTAGGTACAGGGAGCCGCCTCCGACTCCTCCAGGCTATTTGGGAATTTCTTTAGCCGACCTAAAAGAAGGACCCCACCCGCACCTAAAGCCTCCAGACTATAATGTGGCCGTGCGGCGGTCCAAGATGATGCAGAGCGGCCTCTCTCGACCGCCGCCAGCACCTGTCGCTAGCCGCCCTGGGGCCTGTACCCCGGCGAAGACTGTAGGCCAGCCCCAGAGGCAGCAGCCGCAGCCGCCCCCTGCTGCCGTAGCAGTGTTGACTGATGCAGATAGCGAAGCCGACGGTATGTTGCCGCTTTCATGGCTCTTACACGAATTGCTGCACATAGTGAATGGTCTTCTCTCTGGTACTTTATGGTCAGAAGTGTTTCCCTCAATGCCGTGGACATCTCTGTTGGTGTCCATGTGCCTAGCCCTCTTCTGCTGACTCCTCCATAGAGCAGCAGCTCCCTCTAGCAGAACGCTTTGGAGATGCACTTGATCGGAACGGGATTTTCAGGTGTAAATGCATGGAAACCCGATGCTGCGCTGGCACAGTATGTGGAGTGATGCTGTTGACAGTAGCTGCCAGTGAACAGTGAAAACTGTTCTTGATGTTGCAGCTGTAGCAATAGTCTGAAAATGGTTTGCTTTTTATAAAAACAAAATTTATTATTTTAATCAGGTGACCTGAAAGCATTTCTGAGGGTATGGTTGACTGTCAGCCTTCCTGTGTAATGGAGTAGTCAAGAGTGTCTTGGTGAAAATCTGTGTAATTGTATAAGCGGAGAACTAGACTCAATCTTCAGTACTGTGCTGCTGCACTAGTGAACTGTGTTTTTCTTTTCAGAAAATGAACAAGTGTCAGCAGTGTAGCCTTCGGATGGCTCCATTGAAGAGCACTGAAAGTCACAGCAGAGGGCTGGCACCACCTCAATGCCGTGCCCGGGCCGCTGCCAACCAACAGCTTGATGCTGCTTCCAGCCCATGCAGAGGTGCCACTCCTGGCGCTCCAAGCAGTGAGACAGTCACCTTCCCTTTCCTGTAGTCCCTGTAGAGTGTCCTCCGCCTGGATGCTGGGCCTGGGGACATTGTGCCAGAACTGCCTTGGGACCACAGTTACAGGACAAGTTGGGACTTGGTTGTCTTCGTGCATATCACTGTGGATTTTCCTTTAACAAGTGATTTTAAAAGCAGTGGTATTACTTTTTCCAAGCCATAGCTTGGGCTAAAGAACAAATTCAGAATGTCTGCCAATGCCAAGGATGTTCTTATGTATTTGAAGAGTAACTTATTATTTAAAATGTTGTGTTTTTGTTTGTATTTGGGAGCTCGTGCTAGTTGATGTGTGTGTTTGAGGCCATAAACCTGTGCCTGCCCTGAGCCAGGGAAGTCGCCTGTGGAGGTTCGACATGTTTGGTTGGCACAGACACAGCCCATCCTGTAGCACCCGTGCCGGTGGGGGCCCAGGTGAGGCCAAACAGGAAGCCTTTGTCCTTGAGGGGTCAAGAAGCCTGCTGCTCACGGTGTAGGGACCAAGTGCAGCTGCTGTTGGGTTTGCCGTCAGTCCCGTGGGACAGGGGCGGAGGTATTATACAGTAGGCAGGAACCCTAATTTCCAGAAAACAACTTTTGATATTTAATGGCGTAGAAATCATGCTGTGTATAAAATTAAAAGTGCACAAATGAACATCCAGTTAATAGAGAACTGTCCAGAACAGCTAAACTAAAATTTCTCTCAGTTCACATAAGGAGTTCTTTTTCTTTTTAAAGGAAGTATAATCTGTAAATTGCTTTAAGCTTGCAGTATCTGTTGTGCTACTCAAGTCCCACCCTGGCTGGAGCACCGTGCCATGTCCGGCTCGGGCAGGCCCTGTGCCTCTGCACTACCACTGTCCTGCTCAGGAGCCCACTGGGCTGAAATCGGTTGGAAACGTGTGTGAGAAAAACAAGGTGGACTTGTAGAAGTGACTGCCTTTTGATTCCCAGCTTATCCTTGTGAGGACGCCGCTTTCCTGACTTCTGGCCTCGGCATTGTTGCTTCAGTTGTTAAAATTCAGTGTTTACTGGGTAAGGCAGGTTATTCACATTTTAACAGATTAGTATTTGTGTGAAGTTTAAATTTTTTCATCTGCTTTTCAAGAGTAAAGACAAGTGAGATTTTGATGAACTTCTGTGTGTACCAAAAAGACAAACTAGGCAAACGCCAAAGTCACAAAGGTAGCCCAGGACCGGCTCGGATCCAGGTAGGGCCAAGTCAGAGTGACGGTGTGCACTGCGTTGTTGGAGTTTGCTGTTTTTCCTGAGCGGGCTCTTTTCTCTGTTTTCCTGCCTGTTCCCTTGGTTTTAAGGTAGTGAGTCACTTCCTGATGGTACTAGTTTATTTTACCCATCAAAATGATTAGCTCTTCTGTTTAGGAAAAGCAGTGTGTCTGGAAGATTTCTCTGAAATTAGGCTGGGGCTGGAGGCCACACTGAGCAGAGGCTCAAACGTGGGATTAGAAGGAAGCATGCTGTGTTGCTTCCTGGGTCCTTTGAAGTGGAAGTCGCCTGTATCACAAAATCGCCACATTCGAAAATCATGGCATTGTGATTTGGCCTGTGATCAGTAGTCCTCCGTTACAGATTATTATTTTTCCTTTGCCAACACTGATTTATACAGTATTCTTTACATGTCTACAGCAAAATAGAGTGGAAGATATTTTAGCTGTACCTACCTTTTTAACAATTTTTGGTATCTATTTTTGCCATTTTATATTCATTATTCCAAAAAAAAAAAGTGCTTTCTGCACAGTATGTTTTGTTTAGCAGATCTTTCAAGCCAAACAGAAATAAGCCTTACCTGTTATTGTCCTTGCTGAATCAGTAGCACCGTGCATGCAGGGTGGGTCTGGGACTCGTACATCATGGCTGCCTTGTTTTATTTAGCTTTAGCTGTGTGTTTGGACCAGCCGATCACATTGATTGGCAAATAAAGCCAAATGCTTTGTAGTTTGGTATGTTTGAATATCATAAAAGCTCCTGAGGTTTTGGTTTTTGCATTTTAACTTGAGGGAATATTTCCCCATTTTAGTTTTCCATGTGACGGAAACGCAGGAAGCCTTAACCTGTACTTGCTCTGATCCAAATCCCCTTTTCTCCTTACTTTATAAAATTGTGGCTTTAATTAAAAAAAAAAAAGTGAGTGCCCTGTCCATCCGTTTAGAACTCTGAATCTGCTGCAACAACTAACACCACAGCAAGCCCTCGGTGCAGACTCCTGCCCGGCAGCGCACGCACCTCCACTGCAGCCTGGCAGCCTCAGTAGGTTTGCATCTTCTCCAAGTGCTTGCCGCCAAAAAACTTGGGGAAAGAGTAATAAACCTTTTATGGATTTTCATGAAGGTGGTAATTCCAATATCATCGTCATCCCTGTCCCCGCCTTGGAGAAGAATCTCTCCCAGCTGCAAATGTGGCCGTCATCTAGGGGATTTCTAAAACAACCCTGAGTTTTATAGAATTCTTCACCTTACAAAGAAGAAACAGTTTCCTTACGTAGTTAAAGTGATGATTATAGTTCTGGTGCAAGATTGGCAACAATGTGATGTTACCATGTCTGTTTGCATGGCATTGCCTTACAGGCTAGGAGGAGGGGCTGGATCTCCAGAAAAGTGTCCCAGTTTGCAAACTTGAACCCCAGTTGGTCTCTAGGTTTTGTTATACCTTCCTAAGGCTTTCTTTATTTTTGATACACAGAATGCAGTTGAACCTAAAATCTTTTTAAATTGAACATGTGAGCTTGTCAGCAACAGAGAAAAACAAAATTGCACAGTTGTAATAATCAAGTAACAATTGTACTGCACAATTCCATGATTGTAAGGCATCCTGTGACAATGCTGTCTCCTATTTTTTGATACCTCTGAAATTTATGTCTTTTAGAAAGACAGTGCCTCTGTATGCTTTTTGTATTTTTAATGAGTGTAAATATTTGTTATATTTTTGGTTAAGAGAATGTAAAAGTACCATTTATTATTATCATAGCTACTAATACATTGGTGGAATCAATAAAGAGTCTACATTAACCTTCTCCCTACTTTATTACAAGCGGAAGGAACCCAGGCATTCAGTTGTGCCAGCCTGTGATCTATATTGATGCTGTGAAACCTTATTTTGTAGGTCTCTGGAGAAATTGGAGTGATCTCGTTACTGTTGGCAATGTAGAACCTGCGATGAAAATAGCCATGCTTAGTTTCAAGCCAGTTGGGACAGAAGAGGTCACAGAGTTGAACTGGAAACTCCAGGTTGGAGGGCATCATGCCAACACTTCTCACAAGATCCTAGCAGAACAGAGCAAATGTGTTACCAGTGCCTTTCCAAAAGCTTCACTTGCATATATCTGCTGACCTGCCACTTGGGCCAAGTTATGTGACAGGTAGCTGCAAAGGAAGCTGGGAACTTATTTATCTCAGCTGAGCAATTGATGATGCCCAAACGAAATCAGAATTCATGCCAGTGATGAGGGAAAGAATAGGTCAGAGATGGGCAGCCGGCTGGGTCTGCCACAGCCTGCCAACCAGAGGTCCTGCTGAGGGCAGGCTGTGCAGGTGTGAGGTCAGGCTCAGGACCCTGGCCGTGCAGGAGTGTATTCTCCTACCACACACCCATGTGCTGGATTCTTCCAGACCATTCCTTTTCCTGACCATTTCTCCAGTCTGACCATTCTATTCCATTACCTACAAAACACACAGAAGTGTAGGTGAAGAATAACTACCAGAAAAGCAGCAGGGAACGGGGAAGACTGGGCAGAGAAATAGCTGCAAGCCACAAGTGATGCTGAGAGCCAGGAGTTAAAAGCTGAGGAAGGAATTCCTCAGAGAGTACTGCTTGCTGACACCTTGGTTGTTGTACTTCCAGCCCCAGAATTGGGAGAGGATCCATTTCTGTTGCTTGAGCCACCCGGATGTGGTCATTGGTTAACAGCAGCTTTGGGGGAGGAATCCGGTGAGTTACTCCAAGAACCCAGAGCCTGCAGTGGAGAGTTGAGATGGTGCTTCTGCATGCCTCAAGGACGCTCCTCCAGCTCCCGGAAGCATTGCATGTAGGTGAGAGAGAGGACCCTGGGTCCCCAGGCACTCCACGGAGAACAAGCATCACCACCTGCTCCTTCAGTCTCCCCAGGCATTCTGGTAAGTGCACCATGTCTGGTATCATGTTGTGTTTTAATCTGTGTCATGATTAATGAGTACAGACTCACTACTCCAAAGATCAGTTTATTTTAAAGAGTTACAGATCTGTCCACTGATTCATTTTCCAAATGGCCATAATGGCCAGTTCTGGGCCAGGCTGAACCCTGGAGACTTAGTTTTAAAGAAAAATAGCAGGGTTCTACTAATTAATAGCAGGAACTAATGAAATAAATGCCATACACAAAATGGAACAAAGCAGTGAATTCTGTAAACCTCTGGTGAAACTGGGTAAGAAAAATGAATCGTGTCGGGGCGTGGGCATTTGGCGCCCAGCAGTTAACACACGCTCTTGGTAGCTGCTTCCTGTGAGGGCCCTGGGAGATGGCATGTGATGGCTCCCCCTTGTGGGAGACCTGGGTTGTGTTTCACCTCCTGTTGTGACCTAGTGCCAGCTCCAGCGTTGTATTTGGGGAGTAAACCAGATGATGGAAAGTGGCTGTCTCGGTAAGACATCTCACATGACTCAAATGTGCATGCAATAAGTTAATTTTTTAAAAAGCTTACCAGAATCATGACGAGAGAAAGGAAAATGTAGTCACTGTAATTGTCAAAAAAAAAAAATTGTACTGTAAGAGTTTCTGCACAGGGAAGACGGCACTCGTGACTGGCATCACGGAGTTCTACCATCCGCAGAAGTAGTAGCTCTGAACCTAGGTAACACGGTGTCAGAACCGGTAGGAATATCTGATTGACAGTATAAATGATACTTCAGAAAATTTGTGGAAGATGGAATTAAGATATTAGGTTATTTTGGTGCCAAAAAAAAAATTAAAAGTCAGTGCTTACTTATGAGGTTTTTTTTTTTTTTTTTGAATTTCTGAGATGAGGATCGTAGCGTGGTGGATTGAGTCCTAGCTGCTGTGCTTCTGAGCCAGCTCACAGCTAAGTTCCTGGAGGAAACACTGGAAGATGGTCCAAGTGCTTTGGGCCATCTGTGACCCGCTGGAGTTCTAGGCTTCTGGCTTTAACCTAGCCCACGTGTGGCCATTATGGCCATTTGGAGAGTGGACCAGTGAGTGGATTCTGTCTCTCCCCCACTCTGTCACTGTCCAGTCTGTATTTAAAAAAAGAAAAAAAGACTGGAAAAGATTGTATGAAAAGTTTATACATGCTCCAGCTGTGGGCAGCTGCTTAGGTTGCCTCGTGCCTAGGCACGTGTTACACTGCTGGGGGAAACGTAGCTAAAAGTTGGCAGGCTTCCTAGGCTTGGTTAATGCCAAATCTGGGTTGACCAGTGTGCCAATGTAGGTGCTTTTTTTTAAGATCGGGAGGGAGGGTTGGGATGGGTGGGCAGGAGACACTGAGCTAGGATTTGCCACATCAGCCCCCAGGCATCTCGGGTATCCCTATATTGTTGTAGATTGCTCAGGGGAGGGATTCTAAGGACGTGTTGGAGTCAGGGATATTGAGGGTACATTTGACAGGTGAGGAGTGACTTCTGGGGTTTCCATACACGGACCAGGCCACTGCAATCAAAGGTGGGCGAAGGAGCTGAGACAGGATAGTTGGGGGCGGGGACTGGAGAGCGTGTCTGGGTCAGGCCAAGGCACCAGCCCATGTGGGAGACCTGGGCTGAGCTAGGTAGCATGGCCCATTGTATGCTAGCACACACACAAGCTGGAGATGGGAGGTAATTGCCTACCTGGCCTAAGCCACAGTACCTGCCCACAACTGTTGGTACGGAGGGTGGGCCACAGCATCTACTGGGACCCACAAGGAAACTGGATCGGGGTGGAGGGCAGATTCTGTGATTTCTAGTCTGGCTCCTGAGGTACAGCACCTGCTTGTATGCATGAGAGCTTGAGGTGATAACATGCCATGCCAGGCTAGACTGTACCAGGAACTCGGCAGCTGGGGCTGAGTAGAGGCCAGTTTGGGCCAGGTTGTAGCACCTGCTAGCTCATGTAAAGGTTGGAGCTGGGGGTAAGCCACGCCAAGCAAGATTGCGGTACCTGGCAGCTTGTGTGTGATCTGCACCCCTGCTAGGGACTGCCCTGCTAGGCCACTTCCACTGGTTAGCGTGAGAGCTGGGACTGGAAACAGATCTGGCAGGGTCTGGGGGTGGGTCAGGCTGGGCTAGGCTGGGCTCTTGTAGTTGCCAGCACGTGAGTGAACCAGAACAGCTTCAGGCCAGTGAGATAAGCCACAGTGCCCACTGGTGAGTGTTGGGACTGGGTGCAAGTCACATTGGGTTGGATTGCAGTACCCTCTGGGAAGTGCGTGATCTGGGGTTAGGAGCAGGCCTCATAGGGGAACTGTGGGCATTCCCCTGCAGGGCTACAGCTCTTACTGGTGAACACAAAAGCCAGGGCAGGACGCAGGCCAGGATGGTCAAGCTGGCATACACAGGTGGCTTGCAGGCCAGTTCGGGTTTGATCAAGCACAAGCCGGCATGTGCAAAGATGAGGGCTGGGAGCAGGCCTGAGGGGGATTGTTGGAGCGTGTTCTCACTAGGTCGCACATGGAACAGGCAGGCTGGACTGATCTAGGCTGCACCACCTGTCAGTTCATGCGAGAGATGAGACTAGTGACAGAATTGACCAGCCTCCTGTGTGCAGCACTGTGCATTGGCTGGTGCTGATAATGGACCAAATGTGACCCTGCACTGACTGGCTCACCAAGAGTCAAGTCTGAGGTCTCCCTAGGCCAGGTTTCTTGGTGAACTCCTCAACTAGACCCCTGATCTCAAATGCCATTTTTTTTTTTAAGATTTATTTTTATTGCAAAGTCAGATGTACAGAGAGGAAGATCTTCCGTCCGATGATTCCCTGCCCAAGTGACCGCAACGGCTGGTGCTATGCCGATCTGAAGCCAGGAGCCAGGAACTTGCTCCAGGTCTCCCACATGGGTGCAGGGTGCCAAGGCTTTTGGGCCGTCCTCGACAGGCCACAAACAGGGAGCTGGATGGGGAGCAAGGCATCAGGATTGGAACCAGCGCCCATATGGGATCCCGGTGCGTGCAAGGCGAGGACTTTAGCCGCTAGGCCACTGCGCCAGGCCCTCAAATGCCATTCTTAGAGTAAACCCAAAGATGTGTGGTAAACATGGGAAAGCATGTATCGGGACTGGGCCTCCTCAGTTGCTGTTGCCCATGAAGTGTGCCCAGATACACATGGGGATGTGGCAACCAGCGCATCTAGGCCATCAGGGAATGTTGAGTGCTTCATCAAAGGACGGGATGTAACAGGTTGGACCACTCTCCTAGCCAAGCTTTGGAGCAGGTGTCTGGGTCTGTGAATACTCTAGGTGGACTTGGTCAGCCTGTAGACCTTGGAAAGACTCTCTTAGCCCTTGTGCAACAAAGCCAGTTATGTCTCAGCCATCAAAACCACTCGGGTAACCCCTTTGGGACATTCTTCCCCATGTCAGGTTCTTTAAGGAGTCATCAATGAGTCTCCCCTGCCCAGGTGTTGATGTAGTTTGACAGCAAAGAGCCTCCTCCACCTCCCTCCCCCACCCCCAGAAAAAGGGAAAGACAAACATTTGTCCCGCCCACTTTGCTTCATACCCGGCCCCTCCGCACACACCCTCATCAGAGGCTGTCATGGGTGTGCATCCCTCTCAACTGTAAATATTGAAAAGAAATTTTTTTAAAAGCAGAAGTTAATGCATGAGTTTGGAAAACATGCTTGTAACAGAAGTTTTTTAAAAAATTAATTTGAGAGGCAGAGTGACAGCGCAAGAGAGGGGATCCACTGGTTCGCCCCGCGCAGCCACGGCGGCCACAGCAGGCCACCCGCGCTCCGCTGCGTGAGCACGAGTCGGGTTGGAAGCAGAGCAGCCGGGACTTGAACCAATGCTCAGATGAGATGCTGGTGCCATGCTACCAGCTCCTG